CAAATACAATTTTAATGTTCGATTTTCCCACAGATCGAATTCGAATAAAAAAAGACTATTGAATGAACGTGCTACTGTATAAAAAGTGACGGGATATTGCTTCTATGCAGCCTATTTACATTTGAAAGTACTAGTTTTAACACTATCTCATTTTACTGTAGTCAACTCTAAATATTTACCAAATTCTGATTATGAATAATAAGAGATTATTAACCTGTTTTATATTTTGTCACGTAGAATAAATATAGATGAATTCAGAAATCAGATCCTTAATCCTTTCATTACATCTTTAAGAAAAAAGATTACACGTTATTTATATGAAGTCTGTATACTGATTTACAACCATAATGAAGAAGCATTGTGTGTACGTTTCCTCTTGGATTTACACATCAATGAGAAATACTTACTTACTGGCCCCCAAATATCCTCTTACGGCCAAGAGTGTGGACAGTCAGCTCTCCCTCTCCAAATGCTCTCATATGGCCACGTGCATACAACAATTGCCAGGGAAGTCCTTCTCACTGCCTTTTCGCGCCATTACTGTTGTTTACGAAATTAACAGGACGAAAAGCGGATGTCCGGCACTTTAACCGGGTTGGGGTATAAGGAGGGTCCACCTAGGGGAGTTGGGAAACCCTGATTCCAAATCAATGGTGTGCATGGGCTCCAGGATCCTGAAGGAACAAATAGCGTATGAACACATTGCTGGTCACCGGCCACCATGGGACTGCATCTCCTGACGTTGCTTCACTGCCTTGTGGATTAGACCTATAGGTTGAAGGCTCAGGGTGTGATCACCTAAGAAAACCACCTGCATCGATTTGGGAACCCTGACAGTATCTCATCCCTCACATAAATCGAATGATTTATCTGCCGCATATCTACTTGGTGCCTCCTTGTACCAATGTTTATGTGTTTGAATAAAATAAAAAGTCTTTAAATAATTCAATTAGACGTGAATATTAACCACAATATCAATAATTAGTGTAGTTCACTACTTTATCACCAACCCAATATAACCACAACCGACCTTCCATCGTGTATAAATTTCTACTTAAGACTTATTCAAAAGGAAGCTAATTATTAAATTTAATCGCAGTGAAGTGATATGGAAGCTTCCCGGAGTAATATATATCAAGTTATACTGAAGAATCAAATAATACTCAATTAGGAATTGATCGTTTTGATTGCGTGTTAATATAAGGTTAAGGTTTTATCCAATAACCAACAAAAGTACACCGAGTTGACGTTTGATATTTTATAGGTCAATACTGGTCTGTGTTGAACGCCAGTCAAGCAAATAACGTGTTTGTGAAGTGAGAGCTTATGGCGAACTGTCATCAGAATTGATTACCTCAAGTGGTGCTCGTCAGGGCTGTCCACTCTCTCCATTCTTGTTCAACTCTGTCGCCCACGTAATTTTAGATATAACACTTTGCTCGTTTAAATTTCCAGGGGTTGAACTTCTACCGCGAAGTCCAATTGTTGACTTAGAATATGCAGATGACATAGTTTTATTTGGTGAAGACGCTGACAAAATGCAGTCTTCTGACCACTCTAAGCAACAATGCAAGCATGTTCGAGATGCGATTCTCCCCCCCCCACGAAATGCAAAATGTGCTTCATGATTGAGTTGCATTAACACCCGAACTAATGATAGGGAGTGAAGTAATTGAGCGTTTCGACCGCTTCACTTGGGAGTCTCATCAGCCCTTGTGGTCTGGTGTGTGACGAAATCTCAGCACGTATACAGAAGGCTCGACTAGCTTTTACCAACTTGCATCATTTATGGCGTAGGCGAGATATCCGTCTATCAACCAAAGGACGGGTTTACTGTGCAGCAGTTCGTTCCGTCCTACTTTTATGGCAGTGAAACATGGCCGGTAAGAGTAGAGGATATTCGTAGGTTACTAGTATTCGATCATAGGTGTCTTCGAAACATTGCTCGTATATCATGGGACCACCGAGTAAGTAATGCAGTTGTTAGGAAACGGGTACTAGGTAAGGATGGCAAATCGACTGATGACGTAGTGAAACTTCATCAGTTGAGATGGCTGGGACACGTGTTACGTATGCCCAACGACCGACTGCCTCGACGTGCTATGTTCAGTGGTATAGGAGTAGGTTGGAAGAAAGCTAGAGGCGGACAAACCAAAACGTGGCACAAGTCCATGAAGTCACTGACAAGTGGACTGAGTCATGTTGGTAGGTGTAGACTACCTGGTTGGGGACCGCGAGATGATAGCAACCTATGGTTAGAAACCCTGAATGACATGGCTCAAAATCGTTTGCAATGGCGCAGGTGCATCCACTCTTTGTGTTCTCCCAAATTTTGACCTCCTTGTCTTTTTTTCTCTTCCCAAATTTATTTCACTGGATTATACTCTTTAAATAACATCTCCGAACACTAATTCTCCCGACTGCTGCTCATACTCTTATTACCTCTACCACTACGGGATTTGAGTCGACCATTGCATCTCTGTGCTAATGTGGTGTGGCAACTCGAACTGATGTACGTACGTACGAAGTTCTACGTCGGTACTGACTGACTCACAACATAATACACTGATATATTTATTTAAGTACACTAAGAATAAGTTGGGTTTGTTACTGGACACGTACTGCGGTGCCGTCGATTTAATGGGTAGGATAATTTACTAAAACTAGCTAATTCGTATAAACCAACAATAAAACTCAATGAACATCGATGATCTCCTCTATTCGTTTTAAATGTTTTTTATTTGTTGAGTTTATTTTATTAACCACTCAGATTGCTAAGATGAAGCTTATCAATAAGCTATTCAAATTTATCAAAATGGTAGTTTAATTCACCATTAAAATTTTCTAAACAATATGACCTTATGGGTATAGTGCACACTCTTCAAATATAAGTAGATGTCACTTAATTCGCCTATACCAAAGAACATCAACACGCATGGTGAAACTAGTTATTTATTTTTCCACTCAAGACAGTCTATGAAAAAAGTCATACACTAAACAGCGTCATGTTATAGACTCAAAATTCTTCGGCAACACAGAAGCAAAGACTTTCCCTTAGGTGGATAATCCAGTATTTTGTGTACTACAAGTAGAGTATTAAGCTGAACTGAAAGTGGTTTGCCCACAACTTTCTTCAATGCAAGAGATCTGTACGACGTTTTGGTCAACGTAATATAAACAGTCAACTCACTTGACCAAACAGCCTACTTGCTAAATTTTCAGTGTGCCCTTTAATACTTACTAGATGAAAGTCCCCTTGATCAAACGGCCGCTAATTTCATGAGAACCATATAACATAATTTAATCGAATTAATTGTGAGAAACAAGTAGTAATTAGTATAATCCAGGTGTATTTACAGAAAAAAATTAAAATAAATAATCACCTGTTTATGTAACTTAGTAGTGAGAAAATTAAACAATACAATCAAATATTGCTAAAATGCATAAACAATATACACAGAATAAAAATAGCAGTTGAACACAGAGAAACAAGAAAATCTAAAAATATAACATAATTAGAATATCACTTATTGGACCACAACAAAAAACAGTAAGCAATGCGAAACTCCATACTAATAATGAGCATTACATACAAAACAGGAATAACATTAGTTATTGATTCGGATCAAAGCCCATTGTGCTTAGATTTCTTAAACAACACAGTTGTGCACAACCGCTGAACCAAAAACCGATATAATATATGAATAAATCTGACAAAAGAGGCAGAACGGTCAACAAATCGGAAGATAAACAGGAAAAAACTTCCAAGCTCACTAAAAAACACATAATTGGTAAACAACACTGTTGCTTTGGAGGATAGATGAAAAAAGAAACTATTTAAAGTTAGCAAACGTAAGCTGAAAATAATTTATGTATATTCATATTAAACTAAACATTCATTTTCACAAGTACAGAAAAATATCTTGTTTCGAAAATATAAAGCTATGAACCGGAGCCGAAAGAATTCTCCCCACTGTAGCTTATGTATAGAAAACCATCATCATCGTGAAAGTTGTGATACAGTTGACCTATTGTGGCACTAAAATGATTAAAATAAATGGAAATCACTGTATAACTCAGAGAATAGTCTGAAAAATTAGAAACGCATCGTAGAAATTCTTTTATACAATATAGTGAATAAGCATTTCACATTTCGATCCACATTAATAAGATGGAGAACAAAGCATCACAAAATATAACAGGAGAAAAATTTATTCTGTCTCTCGTCAAAGGGTTCCAATTTTATTCAACAAAATAAAACGTAAATATTTATTAGGCTGTGAGGCTCATAATTAAAAGCTTGAGGTTAAAGTATGTAGGTAACTAACTCATTAGAATTATAGACAATGAGATGAAGCCACACAAATATTTGGGTGTTCAGATTACATGAAATATCTACTTACGGATATAAGGAAACGAATCTTAACATCTAAACTATATCGGTTATATCTTGTTTTAAAACAAGTAACGACGAGCACTGAAACCTACTGTATTAACAGAAATAACATCCGTAAACTGTAATATGTAAAATACTTTATTTTTTAATAGTATACGTAGAGATTTCTTTAGTTTTAAATTCCTTAAGTATTACAACAATTTGGGTCACGAGCACCTAATGGGGGAAGAAACTATCACAGCTATTCTAGACAAAATTTTTACTTTAATTTGTTACCATTTTTCTAGTTCCATGTAACTTGCCTGTAAGTGATATCCAGAATATGTTCAACTTACATATTCTAGTAGAGATTCAAATATTCTGAATTTATCAATTGTATCTTAAGCCCTAATCTAAATGCGATCGTGTCTGAGCTCTTTTTTATCCTCTGTTGAACATTTTTTATATGACTTTTGATTGTTCTGTTGCACCTACTCGCATTTCCCTTATTTAACTAGTGGTGTTATCTCTCGACTTGTAGGACATTTTACATTGTGCATACGGTGGAATCAGTGTCAAAATAATTTATATTAACATCTATTTATTCGTTAGTGTTACTAATGAAAATTGAAACACTAGTTGTATCTGAAAATCATTGTTATAAGGAAAAGACTGACTTAACTACATGAGAACTGTTACAGTTAGGAAGTATGTTATGCATGAGTAGGGTAGACAGATTAGAATAAAGCTGGATGTTAGCAGATCAAGACATGGTATTACTTGATCACTAGTCCGAAGCATGTTGGTGTAGGAGCAAACTTCCTGATTGGGGGCTGCTCAGCAATCGTAATTTAATGGTTAGAAAAGTTGGGTGACACGACAAAATTGATATTAGTTGCATTCATTCTTTATTACTGGGCTGAATAGTGAGTTAGGTGTCAATCTTAAATTTTCACGATTTAATCTCATTTGTTCCTTTAAAATTGTACTTTCGTACGTAGATTTCCATTGTGATGGAAATTAGTTCATATTTGCTTCTTTTGATGTTATCTCTCCCTGTACTGACATAGAGTATAGAAACTTACCGATAAACTTTATTTCTAAGGTCCTACTTTGACAATGAATTACGGACTGATTCTGAATATCAAATTATAGCTTTTTGTTTAGCGCTGATATGAGCCCGAATGAACTTATGTAGTTTAAATAAACAGCATATACTTTAGCTTTATGACCGGTGTTAGTTTGTGAATTTTTTTACCTAAATGCAGTAACACTTCTCCCTTGAGTATGTTACTATTTGAACAAGTGTTTGTATTTTGTGTCAAATGGTACCACTGTTGTCCAAACTGAAAGTAAGACATTAAAGATGAAAGATAAATTACGGATTATTCATAGGAATTTTAAATGTCCATCAGACCAACAATTACTGTGTATATCAAGTCGAAAACATCTGATTAAAATATCTTATGTAAGGAAGAACTTTAAAAAGTGAATCGACTCGTAAATCGATTAATATACCTTGTTTGCGGCATATTCTTCTCAACAAAAAGAAAGAGGGCTTTTTCTGATGAGATATCAATACGTTTTCGAATGATCCACATAAACTGAGCAACTGTAACATCGTCCGGAACAAGAAACTTATGTTTGTCAATATCGGGTATTTGTGAATGACGATGACGTTCTACGACGACCTGTAAAAAAGATTGAAAACGAGTTCAAAAATGACAAGTATTTGCTTTAACTTGCGAAATAATTTTGTACAAAAAAAGTTAAAACTCGTAAGGATCGGTCGTCCACAGACCAAATTGCGACACTACGGATCATTGTCGAACAATCAGTTGAGTGGGACTCGTCACTGTACATCAACTTCATTGATTATGAAAAGGCATTTGACAGTGTAGATAGGAGGACGTTATGGAAACTTCTTCGACACTACGGAGTTCCTGAGATTGTTAACATTATCCGGAACTCATACGACGGACTACAGTGCAAGTTCGTGCATGGAGGGTAGCTGACAGATGCATTCCAAGTAAGGACCGGAGTCAGACAAGGTTGTCTACTTCTTCCTTCCTCTTTCTTCTAGTGGTCGATTGGATTATAAAGACCTCGACATCTGAGGAAAAACACGGCATACAATGGACAGCTCAGAACCGATTAGACGGTTTGGACTTCTCAGATGACCTAGCCCTCCTATCGCATACACACGAACAAATGCAGATAAAGACAGCCAGTGTAGCAGCAGTCTCTGCATCAGTACTTCTCAACATACACAAGGGGAGAACCAAGGTCCTGAAATACAACACGGAGGACGCTAATCCAATCACTCTTGATGGCGAAACTCTGGAAGATGTAGAGTCCTTCACATACCTGGGAAGCATCATCGATGAACAAGGTGGTTCAGATGCAGACGTAAAATCGGGGATTGGCAAAGCAAGGGCTGCATTCCTACAATTGAAAAACATATGGAACTTAAAACAACTTTCAACCAATATCAAAGTGAGAATCTTCCATACAAACGTCAAGGCAGTTCTACTGTACGGAGCTGAATCTTGGACAACTACAACAACCACAATCAAGAAAGTACAAGTATTTATAAATGGTTGTCTACGCAAGACACTCAACATTCATTGGTCGGATACCATCAGCAACAGCCTTCTCTGAGAGAGAACCAACCAGCTTCCAGCTGAAGTGGAGATTAGGAAAAGACGATGGAAATGGATAAGACATACATTACGCAAGTCATCAAACTGCATCACGAGGCAAGCCTCAACTTGGAATCCTGAAGGGAAGCGAAAAAGAGGAAGGCCAAAGAACACATTACGTCGGGAAATCGAAGCAGATATGAAAAGGATGAATTACAACTGGAAGGGGCTGGAAAGGATTGCTCAGGACAGGGTTGGATGGAGAATGCTGGTGAGTGGCATATGCTCCTTCACGAAGAGTAACAGGAGTAAATAAGTTAAGTTAAAACTCAATACAGCCTTGATGTGTACTCCGTAACGCATTCTAAAAGAATCCGATAAAAGGCATTCTTTTACGTTAGAGATAAACATATACATCCTAATGAAGTCAATCGCAGATAGAATCCTAAGCTGAACTTTAAAATGACATGATAAAAAGATGGTTGAAAAAATATGTGATGATGAATAGTGACATAGCTGAGGAAACCTCGAAAGATGTAAAGTACTAAAGATTTGACCACTTTTAAAACTACATCACTTCAGGTTTCAAACATTTGAAAAGTAACGGGAAGATATGTGGTCCGGAATGTCAAGCGTATGAACTATGAATCATGGTTAATTGTCACGTCTTACTAGGTCACTTCAGACCTCAACATGATTACATTGTCTATGTGCGTTATATAACAAGGTAGAGGGAAATTAGATAGAGACCCTATGACCCCTAAATGCCCTAGCACGGTTGAGAGAGTGGAGAGCCAGCACACCCTCACACGGCTACGCGTATACAACCACTGCCAGGGAAGTCCTACTCATTGCCTTCTCGCAACATTACAGTTGTTTACGAAATTGAGAGGACGACAAGCGAATATCCGGCACTTTAACCGGGTTGGTGGACACGGAGTGTCTACCTAGGGGTGTTAGAAAACCCTGATTCCAAACCAACGGTGTACATAAGCTACAGAATCGTGAAGGAACAAATGGAATATGAACTTATTATTGGCCAACGGCCACCATGGGACTGCATCTCCTGACGTTGCTCCACTGCCTTGTGGATCGGACCTTTAGGTCGAAGGCTCCGGGTGTGGCTTCCTAAGAAAACCAACTACTTAGGTCTGGGCACCCGGGTAGTATTTCAGCTCCCATACAAGTCGAATGGTGAAGTGTGGCGCATAGGCATCTGGTCACTCCTTGAACCGATGTTTACATTTAAATAAATAAACAACACTGTAAATACACAGAAATGCAGTGGTTGGGTGTGATAAAGCTAATAGACTTGTGCATCACGTATTTGCAATTTGTTGGTCAAACATATGGACAGAATAGGTGAACCTATTGGAACATATATATATATATATATATATATATATATATATATATATAGACCAAACCACCGAGAGTACGGCAACAACTCAACAGTGCACAGATGTAGAGGTACTACTTAGGAGAGCCAAGATTCACTGCCTTTATATATGTATATAAACGTTTCACAAACTATCATACGGATATTAGTGACATTCGAAGTCAGTGTTTCCCACAAGCCAAAAAACATAATTTCATTAGATTTTATGCAGACCGGAAGACGCAACATGGAGCACTGTCTACAAAACAAATAGTATCAACCCCAAAGTACTATATTGGGCAGAATGTCTTGTGCACTTAAACAACAACACAGGTCGAATGCAAGGCTAAATTACCTAGTTTTTTTAAAGAACTCATATTGTTTTGAATAGTATCTACGTCCAATCTTGTCCAGTACTGGGGATGCAATCCCTACTTCGGATATTTTGAGGTTTAACCCGATGATTTTATCTCGCGATAGCGAAAGCTGTGCAGATAAATCTTTCAGGCCAAAGAACTCACTATTACCGAAAATTTGTGTTGATTTCGCAAGCTACTCAAGAGCATAATTCAACAGAAAATTCTGTTTTAACTAAGCTTCCGACAAATATCATCCATTGTAAATCAGTAACCTAAAAAGAAGTTTTCGTTCATCCTTTGATGTGATAGTTGAGGTCTATTAGTTCATCTGAATGAGACCTTAGTCAAGAGATAGAGGTGATTAGTTATATTGACACGCTATAGGTATTAGGTTCTTTCAGTTTGCTAAGAATGTTACATGGGACGAATCGGCGAATGGGGATGTGAGAACTGGCTGGACGGTGTGTGGCGTAACCCGGAGACACGAAATACTAGTTATAGGTCAGTGGGAATTAGTTAAACACATATGGTTAACCGCCATTTCTAAAGAACACTGGCGTTGACCAATAGGATTCGTAGAAGTTGTGTCCCGGATGTTTGACTTCTGACATCAACGTTTAGAGACAATGAATAGTGGAAAACTGGACGTAAGAGTTATTCTATACCCATATACAACTTCAGTCTAAAAGTGAAACAGAAAAATCCAGAAACGCGGAGTGAGAGCATGACTAACTTTTCCGTACTTCAGTATTTAAAAAACTCGAGCTTAGAAGTATTAAGTAACAAAAAGCCAAGTGAACAAATGTGATGTTAAGGACTGATAAAAGTCTGGGAGAATCATTATTTTTGAAAAAAAAAACTTAATCATTCAGAGTTAATATTACTCAATTATTACATTATGCAGGACTTACCGGAACTCTATTAGGGTACTTGGCCTTTATCTTTGAGGAGTCCTGTTGTCTTTGCTCTGTAAAAAAATAGAAGAATTGAAACCAACAAACCAAAGGTATGGGTCTCTTTAAACTTGAAATTCATGACTTCTTAATGAACTTTGAGCAGCCCGCTACAAATATGGTGGGGAAATTGTTTTTAATCCTAGTGTAGCTCAACGCATTATCACTGAAAACAAACAATAATCTCAACCAGCCATAATAGAAAATTTGGTTTCTTGCTCTCGACGTTAGGTGTAAAGAACAGGTCTCAGGTTTTTATAGTACTTCCTGTGGATGGTAAAGCAACTATTATAATTACTTGAAGATTGTTTTATTACAGGAGTAGATAAGTAGTTTTACATGAGTTGAGTTGTATCCATGACCAGAAACTATCACACCTCGCAAATGTTGTTTGGTTGACTGCATTCAGAGTTGTGAAGTGAGAATTTAAAAATAATATGTAGCGGGTCAATATGTCTTCTCTTAGTTTCCATTTCAAGATTGTGTTAATCCGACGTTTGTGTCACTGCTGACTGGTGTCTACTGCTTTCCGTAGTAAACATTAGTGCGTTGTGTGTGCATATAAGGTGGCCAACTCGCCCTTTCTTTTGTTACTTATTTTTCCTAACTTCCTTCATAGTTTACAGCACACTACTTTGCATAAATAAAGCACCTTCGGGCTAGAAGCGTACCGCTACGAACGCCCGGTGGGAAGAAAATAAGAGATTAATAGTTCTCACTCAATTAGCGTTTGCAAATAGGCAACATTATTAATAAGTAATACAAGATACAACAACAGACTAAAAACAAGACACAAGATACGGTTAGACATTGTGGGAATAAGGAGAATGAATTTTAAGAAACCTTCCTATATACAGGTATTTGGCCGCTATTCTGGACGAAAGTAGGTAATCTATAAATAAATCTTACCGAAATAATCTATGATGTTTGATAATGGTTTGACCATCAGCTCTCAAGAGCAAAACGACTCTCAACTCGAGTGACAGTTGATAGTCTACGCAGTATCCAACTAACTTCCGGGCTATTAATGAAAATACTAAAATCCTTGCGCTCAAGGAAGTCAATAGGATGTGGCAGAATTCTATCTGTAATCATATAACAGTGCTCACTTTACTCGACACTAATGTTAATCAGTGCTCTATTTGTACGTGATAAAATGACTCACCAGCGCACCCTGTTACTTTTAAACAATCATTCACTTGTTTTGATAGTGTAAAGCTGGTTTTGCTCCAGTGCCACAGACTCACACATTCAAATATACTCTTACGAACTCTTTCGCTGTGATTAACTTGCACAACATTAAGTGAGTCATTGACAGAGCCGCCTGCCTTGATTTCGCCTGCAAAATTTATTGCAGTGATCGCAACCTTTCCAGGATCAACTAGAAGACACATATTCAGGCCCACTGGGTTTAGAAAGCATACATGTTCCTTTAGACATAAACAGTTGAAAGTAACATATACTCCTACCCACACGAAACCTTTACGTTGTCAACTTGATATTTTGTCACAATGTCACACAAGCATCAATGGTGTTTGGCGAAAATTTTTACACTAGCGGTCATAATGTAGTCTTCTGCACTCTACACTTTCTTGCAAAAGGTTACAAATCCAATACAATAAATACACGTCTTCAATACAGCGAATATGAACACTCTGACTGGGAAAACTTTCGATTTCTACTATTCACGCTGACTGGACTAGATTTTTACTGGTTATAAGCCTTCAGAAATGCTAGAAATATTCATTATCGCCGCTAAATCCACACTAGACACTACTGTCCTCTCCAAAATATATTTTGAAACAATAACTCTTTTCATCAGACAAACAACTAGGGCTAAGTTATGAAAGCTATAAAGAATGTAATGTATATCAAAAAGCTTCAGTGTATTGCGATAGATATACCCTAAACTTGATGGAGTGTAAAGTCAGCATAGGAAACCTTAGCAAACAGAGGAAAGTGCTGCGCTCACTACAGCATCGAAATCTCAAAATATATCTTGTCTCTTTGGAAAGCGCATAAGAAAGAGTGTGGATCACAAAATCCATTCCAGGCAGTACGGTGGTGTGACGTATTACTGCCAAACTGTTATATAAAAACTGCTATGTTAATATTTTTGCACAATGGAAATAAATCTAATGCCCCATACATTAACGTAAAGCACATCAGCAAAAATAATCTTAGTACCATTGACGCTTATTTTAGTGATACATACGCCCCCATCAAAACACTCAAGCCGAATACATGTCCTAGTGAAGATGGCATCCCATCGATTCCTTAGAAAATAACAGAACCGGACATTAAAATACCAATAATCGAAATATTCATATTATCCTTAAAGGCATAACACAAAACATAGGAGGCAACGTATATTGTCCCGAAGTGCAAATCCGAACCGAAAAATCTGATCCAGAACTACACTTATATCACGCATAATGAAAAAGCGATACAAGAATAATTATCTGATCACCTACTTAGGGAAGGTCTATTCGACCCGTTGCGTCATGGCTTCATTGGAACAGTGTCCTGCAGTACATGCCTGGTAGTCTTCTTTAACGAAGTCACTCGCATACAAGACCGAAAGAACCTAATGATAATACTATATTTCGATATCAATGAAGCTTTTGATAAGGCACCTCACAAACTCCCAATCATCAAAATTCAGTCAGTTGCAATCACTAACCCCCTATTGCAGTGGAATAAGTCTTTACTCACAAATAGATGCCAAGGAACTAAAATTAAATCTACAACATCTAAACCTTGACCAAAAAACCAATGGTGTCGCGCTAAATATTTTTTTGTCTATTGCTTTTTACACTCCAAATCAACAATATATGCTGGTGTTTCAACACATGTAAGACCTACCTTTGAGCTGATGACTTAAAAGTCATTTATAAAACTAGCATTTGCGATGTACGTAGTACTATGCAAACAATATAGCCTGAACTCGACAGGACAGGTGACTGAAGTAAACGTCGCAGCTTAGAACTCCACGCAAAGAAATGCTGCTGGCTACGTATTGGAGGTGTCTGTTAAGATAAGACTAACACTCAACAATAATCTACTACCCAAACTCAAATCATCAACAGGTGATAGGGTGCATTACTTTCTTAACTTCTCTGAACATATGTCTGCTGAAGTATCTGAATCGCGGAAATTCCTAGGCTTCATTCTTCGTAACTTCATTCAAAATGAATAAAACTATCAGAAGTGCTCCATTCTGCTTTACTAAAGGAAGCGGCTTCAATCTTAGCAACCACTTACCGTGATGTTCTCACATTCGCCGAACCGAGCCATGATCCTGAAAAAGTGCAAGCTAGCGTACATTACACCAACTTTCAAAAAAGATTGGCACAGCGATTTTCAAGCCTTCTCTCTATACCCTCAAGAAATATGAAGTCCACAACATGCGACGGTTTACACGACTACTTAATATCCATGAGGTATATTACACACAAACGGTTTCGTTTGGGGAATCGTCACTTTTATATAAACAACTCTTTGACCGCCGTAGACAGATGGACACTTATCCTTGATCATAAGGAGAAGATTGACGTCAAATACACTGACTACTCAAAAACCTTTGGTAGGGTCAGTCATATACGTATTATAAATCAGCTCAAACGGTGAAGTGTCAAGCCACCGTTAATTGATTGGTTCACTTCATATCTAAGTAATCGAATTTCTAAGGTCAAGGATAATTTCATTTTTCCCCAAACATATGTATTGCATTATACACTTCCTAATGCCCATACTTTGATTGGCAACCCACACTTTATACTATAGCTATTTAAAGCATTCTATCCATGTCTTACACACAGTCTATGATTTGTAACTGCCTGATAAGCTTGTAAAATGGTACTTATAGAAATTGTGATTCCCAAAAGTGCGTGATACACAGAGCATTGTGTGAGGTATAATATTTATCCAAAAAGCCTAAATGGGCCTAAAATCACAAAAAGATTAGGTAGGGAGTTACTGACCAGCAAACAATCCATTCGTGTTTGTGTGGCGGAATATTTTGTTTGCATCAGGCTTATTATGATTGGAGACGAGGCTATCAATTAGTGGTACTGGGTTCATTCTCTTACGCTCACTACTCAGACTCATGCTTACAATCTTATTCTGGATTAGCTGTTTTATTAAAACAACCTATAACATGCTGTTGCGGTAATAAATCCTCAAATTAAATAGCCCTGCAAGTTTTTGACATTGGATGCTGACTAGATTAGTTTTATTGGACTCACCTAGCTGAAGGCGCTCGGTCATGCATCCGCACCAGATCACGTGTGGGAACGCCGTGCTCAACATCTACTGCAATCGCTAGCCAGACTAGATCAGACAATTCCGATATATTGGCAATCGATTCTGTCTTCTGATTTCTCTTGATGAGTACGAGTTATATTAGAAGGTGCCGGCTTGGACGTTTCCCGGGTTGTTTTTCAAGACAGTCGGTTTCGAGTTGGGAAAATTGCAGTGTTGTCTGCAATTTCTGGAAGACGCGGCCAGCCAGAAGTCTAAAGCCAACGAGTTTTGTCGTTCGTAAACACTCTTCTGATAGCTTGCTAGGTTTAGCATCGTCTGGTCGTCTTTCCTAACTATATAGGACCGTGAATTACAGTATAGTAAAAAAAAGAAAAGTACAATGAAAATTTCGGCTCCTCGTAAACTTCATCTTTCTTTTCCAGCCGTCCTTCAAAAGAAAGAAAAAAATGTAAATGCATGTCGAAATACACACGTACGCGCGTACAAACACAATGCTGGCGAAAAAAAGTGGAAAATAAACTTATATAGACGTAATATCGTTTAAAAAAGGATTTTTACAATGTTTTTTGTTTTTTTCTAAAATAAACATATAAATATATAAGCATATTAAAATGGTGTTTTTTAAATTATTACATACGGTTAAAAGAAAAATCGAGATAATATAAAATATCGAGGAGTGTCTTACGTGCGATTATCGTTTAGATGTTCTGGAAATCTTACTCTTCTTCCAGAACGCGTCGTCTTAAGTACGTACCTAGGACGGTATGTCGTCAGTAGCCATAAGAATTCGGTTATACGCTTTAACCAAGTCGATTTTCGAAAAAACAGTTGTACCTTTCAAGGTAGCTGTCAAATCGTGAATGTAAGGCAACGGGTAACGATCGGGAATGGTTTTCGTGTTCAATCGCCGATAGTCACCAGTTGGACGCCAATCGGTGCTGTCCTTTTAGGGACCATGTGCAACGGAGATGCATATGGGCTACTTGACGGTCGTATGATTCCTAAGTCTATCATATGGTCGAACTCGTGTTCCGCCAACCTTAGCTTTTCTGGAGCTAGTCATCGTGCTTTAGAGAATACAGATGGTCTTGTAGTCGTGATGTGATGTGTAACGTTGCTGGTTACACACGGTAGTTTCGGTCGCGTTTTATGTATCCTAGGATACTTATCGAGTAGTGGTTGACAAAGTGAGTTTATCGTATGCTTAATTGTGACTAGAGATAATCTGCAACCAGAAAAGGAAGTTACGCAAACGGATAAATTAGTGTCTCTATCTAGATATAAGGGCGGCCTGCTTGAGCATCTGGGCTACCTGTTCCTGCCATCTAGATATTTCAACAAGTTATCTATTGTTGTTTGTTTTAATATATCATTATGTTTATTAATCGCATAACCTATTCTGCTGCGTTTCTGAAAAGTGTACAACCTTTCGTTGTCAAAGTTACAGAAAACTCAATAAGAGACAATATGGTTGCTGGCAATATACAACGAAAAGAATGTACATTATTCAGTTGTTCATTCACTGAAGTGCTAACATCTAACTGGCGATTCCTCAATATTTATCGCCAGGACCGACCAAGAAGAAAGAAACGGAAACTTGTTGAAATACTTTGCGCTGAGAATTCTATATTGTACCAAAATTATAATATTGAATAAAGCTAATAATAATAATAATAATAAATACTAGCCTCCGTTTGCGCGTATCGATGATTATATTATAGTGTTGTAGAAGGTCTATACCGGTTTTGAGTTGCGAAAATTGCAGTGTTGTCTGCGATTGCTGGAAGACTTTCCATACTGGGTATGATACCAGCACCAGTCGGGTTATCCGTCTCTCGTGGTCTACAGACAGATCGCTTACGTGAAGTGCTTCTACGTGGGGTGTGTGATCGCTTACGGTCGTTATGAAAATGAACATAACGTGTAAGTGTATGACATAACTCTGTAATATCATGCTGGGTCGTTTGAGACCTTTCTTTGACTGAAAAAACCTCGGTAGTAGATTTTGTGATTTCTAAAATGCGGTCAGCAGATGCAGCTAGCTCGTCTAAGGCGTTGTTGTGGAACGAACCAAGCACAGCTTGCACCTGTTGAGGAAGTTTGGATAAGAAAAGTTGTTTAAATAGGCTAACATCAAAAGTTCGTTGGCCAACAACCTCTTTCATCCGTTGCAACTTGTCCGTCGCAGAACCGTCTGCAGTTGGATGTTATAACGGAGTTGGTTTAACCTGTAGTGACTCACGTTTATCACGAGAACACGACTGGTTTAATAAAAACAATTATTATTATAACCAACTGTACCAGTGTTTGTTTTAATGTGCTTTTGTTTGACTGTGCTAATGACAGCTGTTTTGTGCTTCCATTCTTTTACTCACACTTTGATTGTAACTTCGCGCGAATTCGGTTACGTTCTGTAACCAAGCTTGTATCCTGGTACGATCTCGGTATCCTTTCGATGCCACGAGATCGCCAGCAAATAAACATCGACTTGGTCCATTAATTGCCTTCTGATATTTGGCTTCTCGGGGATTTTATGGATCTATTTGGTTACGTCCAACCCTCGCCTACTGATTTATTTGGCACGTGTTTCTTTGTAGCGGTGTTCATAGTTAACCTCAACTCGACGCCACGCTACAATTGGTAATCCCAATTCGAATACAAACCTTTGTCTATCGGTTAGGTCTCCGCGTTTAAGAATAGAACGTTTCAGCGTTTCGTAAGGTTCAGAAACATCACTAGTATACATACTAGGTGTTACGCACCTGTTGAATTCGCACTGTAGTGCATTGCCTACTGCGAGGAATTGTGCATGTGTGCCGATCACGCCGTGCTCGGCTTCTGCGTAGCAGAACCAGGCTTCGATATTGTCTAGCCAGAAGGGCATCACTTGGAACAAAAGTGGGGACAAAGTCTTAAACTTAATAACTTTGGATGTCTGTTCAGTCTTGATAAAGTATGAAGTACGATAATGAACGAGGGGAAAAATATATGTCCAAATACGCGGGGAAAAATATCACAATGTATAAAAAATTAAGATAAGGCAATGACATATAGTATCTCAAATAAGAACAGACTCACAGTTTACGATTTGGTGTACCAGATCACGTCGGGCTTACTAATGCTGATGACACAGGTATTCAGTATTTGACAACGCTTTTACCAGTGACACATAATATAGCTCGTACTCACCAAGAGAAATCAGAAGACAGAATCGAGGAGATCAGAAGTTGTATTTGACGATCGCCAATATATCGGAATTGTCTGATCTAGTCTGGCTAGCGATTGCAGTAGATGTTGAGCACGGCGTTCCCACACGTGATCTGGTGCGGATGCATGACCGAGCGCCTTCAGCTAGGTGAGTCCAATAAAACTAATCTAGTCAGCATCCAATGTCAAAAACTTGCAGAGCTATTTAATTTGAGGATTTATTCACCGCTACAGGATTACCAATTAATCAAACCAGTCGGTTAATACAAACTCGTGAGAAAGATATTGGATAGTGGATAGCTCACATTTCACTAGCGCAAAGTCTAAGTATTCTAAAATTCAAGGACGCAGGTGACTGACACGCTCGAAACTAGGAGACAATATTGTCTTAATTTCACTTTCGTGTTACTAGTGATTGTTGTCATTTGCCTTTGTTTTTAGTGTAAATCCATTTGATGTGCTTAATGAGTCTTCGGCTCTTTTTTCCTCTTGTTCTTTTCCAGATAATCTAACTGCTCCTAACATTCCCCCAACACACAAGGTATCTTCAGGCTAGACGCAAACATACCAAAAATTGGATGTTGCAACTGTATCTCGCGTGAGGACTTCTCAAGTCTAAAAACCACCAGGCAACGTGGATTTACTAGATGGCTTTGTGAAATGAGTGTCACACGGCATTTTCATATGAATATTATTTCTTTTTCTGATTTGTAATGATCAACGGAACTCCGAAAATACTGGCTACTACTCATAAATGTGTATTCAGAAGTACTTCATTCTCCCAACTTTTAGCCAGTAAGTCAGTATGCGGAGTGTTTTCCAGTACATTTCATAATGTAAATGTCAGGCAAAAACTCCTTTACAAACCTGGTGATTTACTTCATTTTCACCCAACTGGAGCTTTAACTCTGAGATTGCAACACTCTCATGGTCCTTCAGATAATTTATCAAATCCCGCTTTGGAACAAAAAGCAGTAAGTTAAATCATGAAATTCCCACCAATTTAGTGTTGCTTTCTTGTGTAGTCGAATGAGTAACTGGAAAGGTTTATATGACTGTTTCATCATACTTAAAAAGCTTCGTTAGCATTACTTTTATGAGCAATGGTTATATTTATGAGATTGCTATGGGATTAACACGTCTTAAGTTTTTTTTAGTCAGTTTGTTTCATTGATATTTGAAAGCTTAGTCATGCTTGTGTAAATCGTTCAAAATTATGGAAGCACAGTAACAAATTCCAGATTATAATATCTATTAAGTATTCCGGTCGCGTTCATAATTATGTATTGTACACATTGTATGGAAGGCAAACCATTTGACCTAACTAGTGAGTAAGTTTTCAGTTCTCATCTACTCCATTAGGTTTGTAAGCAACCAAATATTGTTTCCTCTCTTAATGCGATAACTCTCTGTACCAATAGGTGTGTCTGTGTCTTAACGATGAACATATCTTGCAATAGAAAAGGTTGATAGCTCGAAACACTTGGCTTTTAGCGGCTCGGTTTCATGTCGAAACCCGGATTAACGTAATTTAATTTTGTCAGCTGTTTATTCTGGAACAGTGCAAGCTTATTAACTATCGGCCACAAAGTTTCGAGTTCAGTGAGTAATAATTTCAAGAGATATACCTCACAAAAATCTCAATAGAGATTCACCGTTTTTATGTTCAGTCAGACGTTATACTTATCCACTACCCATTTATCCATTGTCTCCGTTTTCACTAATATCTTTTTCCTTTTGTGATATTGTGTGGTGTAAACCAGAACATTGTCATGTAAGCTTCTAGGCTATCTCATATTCTGAGATTTTGGGTCCAGAACATTGTTTTGTCTTAAAAGACATCCCAAGGTTAAATATACTACACTACTTTACATTTCAATCAACCTATTTGACGAAATATCAACCGTTACATTGATTAAAATACGGGCTAGCTATCAGTTACTACGTAAGTTCTGTTTATCTCTATCGTTTTTTCTGAAGTGAGACTAATCAATTTTCAGCTTTTTGTTCTTGCAATTCAATCCGATTAATTTGTCTGCATTTTAACTTCATTTAGATTTTATCTGACTGGACTATTATTAGACGACTTCTAAAATATGTTTGGCCACAGGATAGGCCTGAAATCCGTTTGCGTGTAGTCGCGGCTATGTTGTTGTTATTATCTTCCAAATTTGTTAATGTTTTGGTCCCATTCGTTTTCAAAATTGCAGTTGACTGTTTGTCAGGAGAAACTCCACTACTATTAGGTGATACAAGTCCTAGTGTGGCAGCTACAACTATTTTAATTTCGTGTAAGAAATTTATTTCGTGTTTATTGGTAAAACTATGAATTTCAAACGGTATACTTAACCAATATATCTTTTGTAAGGAACAGAAAGTGAATGTATTTGCATCATATGTATACTCAATAATTGGCATGTCCAATAACAAATACACTTGATTTAAATGAAAGAGTCACCATCTTCCCAAATTTTTTATGCATATTTTCTGAAGACTGCAAAATTATTCTCATTAACATAGCCTTGTATTCTACAAGAAACTAGTACATTATTTATTAACCGTAATTTTTGTCAATACAAGTTTAGCATTAAAGGAATTCTCGTAGTATTATTCTAAGTCAAGTTGCTTAAGTGCTATGTTCATGCTTTCACGATAATAATGTTCAGACAGTTTCTGCTTTAATTGATTTTACTGCCATCCTTATCAGTGTGCTTGTTTTAGAAAGCTGCACTCATTTGTTCAGCCATAGCTACTATGTATCAAGCCTAAACTCATTATAATTCAGAACAATATGCTGGAGACAATAAGTAAAAGTACTTTGGCGATTTCTTACTATTTAATTAGCAGGTTTTGATACAGTTTCGTTGTCAATAATCTAGATATTGAAAATCTTATTATTTTCCCTCCCCACTTTTGGTATTATTTGTCTCGCTTTATGTTATGTCAACTAGTTTACAAAATTAACGCAATCGTATAATTAAATAAGCAATCAAGTGTGTGTAAAATGTGCAATTATATGTCCAGAATTGATTATTCGAGTGAAAACGAAGTGACCAATATGACTAGAGTTGCGCGCTTGGTTATCATTTAATTTGCTGGTCTTATATACAGTCTAAATGGGTGAATGAGATTACTTGAACTCTTTTATTCATTTTTTCATGTTGTAATGATCCGGACGGTATTCATAATCGATACAGAGCCTGGGATAAATGTCGGTTTGGCTAAGTTGTTTTACCACGAAAGCAGGACAAGATGTAGTTACATACAACTATGTATAGTCAGTTTGTAATGTGACTCCCTCCTTGTTAAGTGCAATGAGATTAAGGGTATGTTTATAAAATGTAGTTGTAGACAGTATTTACTTTCGTGAATATTGTAAGTAAGCCCAGACATTAACGATCTATAGGAAACGTAACACAGCACAAATCTCTATCGACCCAGAACTGGCATTGATGTCATTGATAATTGAACGAATACTAGGAATAAGAAATATAGTTTAAAAACAAGGAACGAATTCGCAAAATAAGAAATATCAGTTCATATTAAAGATAAGATTCTAATGATAGAAAATGGATGTATCTGCTTCATTGTGCCCTGTCACCCTTAATAGATTGTAATTACCTAGATCTATTCACTTCTTTTATTTACAAAATAATTTACTGAAAATGCTTTGATCCGAAATCAACTTGTAATTACGAATCTCATCACTTGTTTGCCTCCCTCTTTCATAAGTTTGTCTGGTAGCTTCATGTCTTATGTGAATTTCTTGTAATACTGAAAATAAGGGCAACTTAAAGTGATGCATATCTCCGAATTAAAAGCACTTGTGGTGACGTAGTTCTTATTTATTCAATATGACTAGTGTGTCTTATTACTCTTCGACGTTTTATATAACACCGGCTGATCAGTTCGCTTAAATTGACTTACGGTAAATAATTGTAACGACGGCTTTATTGTAAAGAGGCGTGCCAGATTTTCAACTATGGAAGCACAGGTTGGAATGCCACTTCACTCGTGTCGGTTTAACTTCTCGTTATAGTGTTACTACCTGTCTAGTAAAAAGTCTTATTCAGAACTTAGTGCAAAATACTTGAAGTTACATCGAGTACATAAAGATAGTTTGTCCCAAACTCTAAATTCATTACTATTTACGACCGCTTCTAGTTCGTCCTTTTTATTCCTATTTATAATCCTTTCAACCTATCTTCTGTTTTGTCCATAGATGGTTTGTTTAGAGCTACTGCTTCTGGTTTAAATGAGTTACGTACTGCAGTTTTTGCTAAAGCTGCTCTTTCTTCAATTCGAGAAGTCGGAGTTCAAGTATTTCGACATATGCACAATCTTGATTTAAGTTATCATCTTGGAAGAAGAACTGGAGCATTAGGTAAAGCAATTGATCGTGGCGCTAGGGGAATAAATTTTATATTGACTGCTATGGTTTTCAATTTATTTCCTACTACATTTGAAGTTGCTGTTGTAACAGGGATTTTGGTAAGATTGTATCTTATTTCTCGTTTTTACTTAAAAGTAAATGTTTTCTGTGCTTTTATTATAGAAAAGTTTGTAATTCTTAATAAATTATCAACAAAATAATGTTTTTGCCGAAATGTTTGCTGTTTACTCTTAGTGGTTTCTGTGAAATCAAGAGTAAACTAATTAATGGTTATTACATTCATGAATTAAAGCTCATCTTTAGAATTGTGAATTCTGTGCAAGTTTTCTTAACTGATTCTCAAGGTTATATCACGTAATGTTATAAATGATTGTTTTGCAACCAGTTTAACTGTAATCAATTTTTCAGTATTCAAAAGACAGTTATTGTTATGACTTTATGTCCGGCTTTTATCATGTGATTTATCCACCAATCAAAATACGACTTATACAATCTTAGCACTATGCCAAACCAGTGAAGTTCGACCGGTATGAGCAGCCTAGCGTCCTTATTGGTCCTATGTCCGCCTAGCCTGTCCACTTGAGTCCAGAACACAATACCAGCTTCTGCAATATGAATCGAATTGTTTATTTCAGACATACTCGGTTTATATATCAACCAGACAAACCATAACGTACCATAAAATAGAAAATAACATTTGTACAATATTTGGCCAAGTGTGGCTGTAAGCGTGGGAGGCAGTAGTCAATAAAATGAACATAGCTTAAGAACCGTAAATCGTACAATAATAAATTATAGGTCAAGATAAAGCTTATAATAAGAGGAATATAAATATACATAATCCAATTATTGAATAGTTATACAATAAGAATATTTATAGAATATTAGTCCATTAATAGTCCTCGGAAGTTACCCGTAATTTAATCTTCACTGGGATATAACAGTCATGTAGTATTTGTTTTACTGAAACAAATTTCTAGTTAACTTATCATATGGCAAGCATAATGAAATTCATTTTATTTTATTTTATTTTATTTGAACACATATATATTGGTACAGGAGTGCGCCAAATATATATGTGCCACACAATTTCAGTTCATTAATTGCGTGTGGGCTGCGATACTGCCCGGGTGCCCAGACCGAAGCAGGTGGTTATCTTAGGGGGCCACACCCCGAGCCTTTGACCTAAAGGTCTAACCCACAAGGCAGTGGAGCGTCGTAAGGAGATGCAGTCTCATAGTAGCCGGTGACCAACGATTGGTTTATACGCCAGTTGTTCCCGCAGGATACTGGAGCCCATGTGCACCATAGATTTGGAGTCCGGTTAAAGCGCTGGACATTCGCTTTTCGTCCTCTCATTTTCGTAAACAACAGTAATGCCACGAGAAGGCAGTGAGTAGGACTTCCCTAGTGGAGGCTGTGTACGCGCGGCCGTGTGGGAGTATTTCGAGAGGGAGGGCGAACCCACCCCGCTCTCGGCTATACCAGGGCATTTCGGAGCAAATTCATACTGTAGATAAATTTCACCATTAAAAATTTCCCATCATTGGCTTCATATCTTGTAAAATATTTCGGTGTTGTATATGCTAAATACTTTCGATTAATTTTGATATTTTTATTGCATTAAATGGTTAGTTATGTAACCTTTGACTGCGAAAAATTTTATTTTCAGTTTTATCGATAAACAAAACTAATTATTAATTGGCTTTTAACAACTATATATTTTAGTGTTTGACGTTTTGTGCATTGTACAATATTAACATTTAAGCTCACATTATTTATTTGTAAATTATTGAAACTTATACCATTTTTAAGTGTATAGCGATGACTCGATATTTTAAGCATTCAAATCTCAGTCACTAAGTCGCAGGTTTTAATCTTACTCCACTTACGTCGATTCCAACAATCACGTGGTATAATCAGCCCTCACACAATTAGAATATAGCTCGAAGTAAAGTAGGTAAATATATACTTGATGCTGAGCAAGTGCCTAATAAATTCGTTCACTCGTCTTACTCCTTACTGAATAATCTAAAATTAGGATAATCCATTGAAACATATCTTTCAAGCCAATATATCGGACCTTATGAACAAAAAAATGAGATAAAAGATTACATGACATTTTGTAGGTAGTTCAAAGACTTTCACTCATGCTTTACCTATATAGTGAAGTATAGATTATTGAGAACAATAACTTTATGGCTATCTGACTGGAGAGTGTTATTAATTTTTCTTCGTACATTTCAAGATTAGTTTTATGATGTCATGTAATTTTGGGTCATACGATCTAGTGCATTATTACTTATATCTTTAATGGTAGATTGGTTTTAAAAAAATAGTAAAGCAATTTTCTCAAATCCCTGGCTCAGTAGAAAATATGAATTTATGGAAAACAGTAACTTGTCACTGGAAATTTCATGTTTGTCATTAAAAGTCAACTCAACTTTATTATTATTATTTAAACACAAATATTGGTACAAAGGAACGAAATGATGTACTTGCACCACACAATAAGAAAGTGATATTGTAAAGGGATAGGGAAAGGAACGTGAGTATAATAAACTTTAAGAAACAATAGGTAAATGAAAATGAGTGAATGGGTAAAAACGAATAGTAGTAGTTCAGTTAAGAAAAATACAACCAGAAAGAATCTTTTCAGTTAAAATTCACTTATATGAAGAAAGTGAAAGAAACTTACAACAGCACCGTCACTGGCTTTGATTCTGAGCCCATGTCTGATAATGGTTCGAGTCACTGTGTCGCGCTATCTCTAGGACCTTAACTAGGCAGTCGTGAAGGAATGACAGATGCCAGTCCTGTACAGCTTTCTTCCATACGACAGTACAGTATTATAAACTGACCACCTCTGCTTTTTAAAACCAGTCCCAGCGTCGGCAAATAATGCACAATGTGGGGTTTGCTGGGATAACATTCGTAAGACATGTCCAAGGCACCGACGCCTGTGTTTCAAGATAGTGACACCAATCGAATTATCGTAGCTGTGCCCGAACATACGATGCCGCACCTCTACATTACTAATATGGTGTTGTTACTGGATGTCATCGATCCTTCGGAGACATTCGCACAACATCCACAACTCGGAGAGGTTACGCTTCACATTTACAGAGAAGGACTACGCTCACTAATGCATGTAAATCAACTTGTTAATACACTCCGACCATTAGGTTTCTTAGTCTTCATACAAACCTTCCAAGCAATCAGTTTTTTGTTACACCATGACAAACAATCGTTACTGGTTAAGGTTACACAATAATTGTGACGTATAGCTGGGGATTTTCGGTGAGGTTCACTTATAGAGTGAGTTCAATATCATCGCCCGCATTTTTCATTCTGTGACATTATTCGTTCCTTTTGAACCACAATTTTTTCTTTAGCTTTTCATTGGAGTTGATTTGATTATCCTACCTCCACTTAATTTTCCCTCTCACTGTGAAGTTATATATATAACAACTATTGTATAGCCTTAACCAGTAACTCACAACCTCTCCCAATAGTTCAAATCAACAGTTAATAGATCCATGAACTGATACTATGTCGCCCCCAGTCTTTTCCTAACCTGCACTTAGCAAGCATTTTACATTGGGTTAAGCGGTGACTACGGATGCGTAATGGTGTGGTCTTAGCCACCGACAAAAGTAATGAAGAATGAAAAGATTCAAAAGTTATCAGTATTATAAGAGAAAAGTCAGGAGAGGGTTTTTTAACCGACAGGAAAGAGGAAATAAGGCTAACAATCAAATATAAAATTGTTAAAAGTTGGATTACCAAGTGTATCATTAATTTATACATTAATACATATCATTCAACACTAGACAGTATGGTACAGCTAACTACTGTTTAGTAGTTACCTGTTAACTAGCTGTGTATAAATAGATGTTTGAAAATTTTATTATGTGTTTGGGTATGAAGTGTGTTTTTTAATTAATAGTCTTTTTCACGTTTTAAATTTTCGTCTTTCTATCTTATATAAAGGTAAATATCTTCAGTACTTTTTATTTATTCTGATATACGAAGGGATGAAATGTGAGTCTCCACAAATTATATCTGAGTATTGCATCCTAATTCCCGCTTTTTATGTTGTTTTCTTGTTTAGTATTATAAATATGGAGTAGCGGCCAGTACAATTGCACTAAGCTGCATAGCTGCTTATACAGCATTCACATTTGCTGTTACACGTTGGCGTACTCAATTTCGTGTTCAAATGAATAAGGCAGATGGTCGAGCTGCAAGTCAAGCTACTGACTCACTTATTAATTATGAAACTGTAAAAGTAAGAGTAACAATGTATTATTTCTTTTAAATACATAGTAGATGGACATCAATTATGGTCGGAAGTCGGTCTCTATAAGGTTATTTATAGAATCACTAATTTGTTGAGTCTGCTAATAATGACTTCGCTTATGTTAATCATCCCAGTGCTACTAATATGCTAACCCTGACTGGCCCACGAAACTTGTTTCTGCCCCTAGCCTTTCTAATCAAAACAGGAACAAATCCAGCCAATTTACTATGTTTATCTTTAACTTAAACTCACATGATAATATACATGAATTACAATACTGAAACGCTCCATAAATATAAGAGCACAATCTACGGATAGCTAGGTCATTTGTAGTACAAAACTGAATAACACGTACATTAATTAACTGTAATTTATGAATGGTAAAAGATATACCGACAGTTGAATAAAAGCTTACAAGTATGGAAATACGGAAGCACCAAAAGCCTAAATATACTTAAATAAAAGTCTTCAAAGTTCCACTTTTTTGCTTATTCACCTATGTCTAATAATTTACTGTCACTTATATTTCGTTATTATTTTCTATTTCTACTGATTAAGCAAACAGTACACTCTGGTCTACAAGTTAAATTTAACTCAGTTTAACTTGGGATGGTGAAAAACGTGTTTCGAGTGCAAACGAGCTGTGACAATCACTCACGCATTTGTGGTAACATTCATAGTCACCTTGTTCACAATCACAAGTTAAATTACCTTACTTTACAGAGATCCGTATTTGATATAAAGTGCAGTAGCTTTTGGATCAGTCGTAAATTTTTTTATTGCACCTTGAAAATTAGAACAGATATGAAAGTTACTAATGCGATGAGTTGGTGATTATTTACTCCAGTGAGAAACACTAGAGCTTTGATATCCCCTTTTACAATTTTCGTTCTATTTTTTGTAACCCTGCTATGGTTGATTAACAACCTATTAACTTCTCGTTACTTTTGAGAATTGCTTTCATAATTATTTTTTAGTACTTCAACAACGAAGAGCGTGAAGCAGAACTTTATGACAAACTTCAAGCTCAATACGAAGAGGCCAGTATTAGAACAACAACTAGTCTAGCTGTACTTAACTTCGGTCAGGCTGCTATATTCTCTGTTGGCTTAGCTGCTACAATGATAGCAGTTGCAAATCAAGTTACTTCCGGTATAACCGATCCAGCAACAGCTGCTCATGTTCTTGAAGCCACTGGGATAAGTAGTTTAGCTAAATCTTTAACTGTGGGAGATCTTGTTCTCGTAAACGGATTATTATTCCAATTATCGATACCATTGAATTTTTTGGGTACAGTATATCGTGAAGTACGGCAATCTTTAATTGATATGTCAACTATGTTTACACTATTAGAACTTGCTCCAACAGTTCGTGTAAGTTAGTGTATGTACTCTTTAAAAAGTAATTTGGTTAAAATTTCGATCATAATTTTCGTAATTTTCGACTCGGTATATTTTCGTGATGAAAGTCATCTTCAAAATACATACGGCTCTGTTTAGCTTTCTTGACCTACTAGTATTCATATTCTCAATAGGAAGTAACCTCTCAATGTGGAATTTTCAGAGTTCTAATGAGAACTAGTGATACGTGGGAGTGAAATATTTTTAGCTAACTGTGATACTACTAGGTAAGGATAATACTATTTGACTGAAGTTTTAAAAAACATCGGTCATTGGATAACAATTTAATAATACTTCATTGGTGATGTTTTTTATGCAGACAATGAAATCCTCACATTTCCATCACTCATCTCAGAAAAAACAATTAAACCAAAGTTATCCTCCTAAACTATAAATCTTTACTACCTAATAATTATTTAAGTGATAATGTGGTATGTGTTACTGATGTCGACAAATATAAGTAGTATGTATCACCGACTGAAAGTGGAATGCCTGGCATTCGAAGGTTGTGAAAATCGAAGAGAAAAGAACGAGGACAGAGAGTGATTGGTATTGAAACGTAGGAACAGTTAAATCTGAGCCAATTGATGTATATTTTGCAAATGAAATATTTACTGTATGCTTCTCATATTTTACCAAGATATTCTGTAATTTTGTGTTTAAATACATTTGGTTGTCTCCGCCTCCGTCTACATTCACTACAACAGGACTAAGTAGTTTATCTTTCGTTTGAACAACCAGAACAAATTAACCAGAAAACAACTAACACAGATCCTCTGGCCAAACTATACATGTTCAAATTAACGAGCTAGTAAACATACGCTCCCTCAAATGAAAGATGTATATAAACAGGCTTTTAAGCTTACACGAAATGTGATTTTGTTAAATTATGTGTTGTTGTTTACAGTAATAAAATAGTTCTTTTCCATAAATAGAAAACAACTATGAAGTTCAAGTCATTTGTTTGATAATTTTAGACTACAATGTGTAATGATAAAACGAACCTAGTTTTTATTGATCATATTTTTTTGATCCCCTATTTTTTTTAAACTTGACCTGAAATTCCTTTTGACTATAGAGTGAAATTCATTGATATCAATATATATTATTGAGAAGTAGCTTTTTAAGGTTAATCTGTCTTAACTTATTGGATGTTAAAATATACATCAGTTCTTTGTTTTCGATATATTCTACTCTACTTTAATATTCAAATTTACATTGGAAATGTAGTTACATAGTTGTTTTAAACTGTAGTTTATTATGCGTTTATTCAAGGTAAAGATGTTATAAAATATGTTCGGAACCGATGCTTTAAAATGATTTCGCTTATCAGTGTTTCGATGTTAGTTTTAAACCTTTTATTTCAGTTGAAATCCAATCATTACTAATTTTTAGTAGAGATTAACTGATACTTTAACATGAAGTCGTGTTACTGTATTTTTTAATGGTAGCATGAACTCTACCTACTCTAAACTGTGTGCTAACTTTAAGTAAACAATAAAATTATGATTATTGGTTTGATTAATTTAGCCAGGTATATTGATGAATGTGTAATTTTTTATTTCTATTTTCAGTTGAGATTGATAATGGTTAGCAGTGTAATCCAAGATACGCGTTTCCTCCTATTTGGAACTTGTCGGCTAGATGTACCTGCATCCCAGAGTTGCGTCCCGGAGTGAGCATCAACTCTGGTATACAGGCACACTCATCTAACGAGTCCCAAATAGGACAAGACGTGTTTCCTGGATACTACTGCTAACCACCGTTCATCCCTGCTTAAATTGCTTGTTACTTAAGGAGGGATATGGAGGCAATCCACATAGGATGTACATATGCCAAAAGCGATTGATCAGTTGTATTTCTGAACATTAATGCAAAAATCCAAACAACCATTTTTTATGAATTAATATTTCTGCTGTGAACAAAAACATTCACTAATTGATCTTCTGTTTTCTTATTAGAAATATCTTATATTTCGGGTACTAATCAATCAGAAGGAAATTCGTCTTGTTTTTCAATAGCGGCTATGAGTATTGTCTACGTTTTCCAATTAGCTTATGATCATAGTTTGTTTTCCATCAGATTTCGCGAAAGTATTAGTTAGGATTTCACTAGCATTCAGTTCATTTCAATTTACAGAAGCGTAACAATAAAGAAATCAGAATTTTTTCACATTTTTTATTTAGTCCGCTTACTTGGCACAGGTTTATGTACTTGGCTTCGAGTCACATTCCAAGTGTTGAGGGCTAGTTAGCTACTTGCAACGTAGAACCTAGGACATTTGTACATCGGTTCAAGTTTCCCGATCAAATTAGCACAATCAGATGGAATTATCAAAACAAACCATAAAGTAGTAGAATTGGTAACAATATCAGTAATAGTAGAAAAGATCAAGTATAGACAATATGATTCGAAAAGAATGAGTTCGTGCAATAAAAAAAGTATAAAATTATTATAAAACTCAGGATTTAGCGGAAAACACACAGTGAATCGATCCGCGTCATTAGCACCGATTCTGAGCTCTGTCATTCAACATCTTTAACTATTACTTACGATAATCACATGAGCCTTAACCAGATTTTCTGAGCCTTACCAACATCATGGCTCAAGTCTGCCAGTCAATGACCTCATTGACTATCTTCCACATTAGTCTGATTTCTATCCACATTATCTTCGTTACCTTATGAATTGATTTTAATTTATATGGTGTTTTTTTGTTTAATGTCATTTTGTTGTAAATCAAACAATGATCACTTGTTTTCTATGTGTTCACTGATTTAACTGCTTTATTCTTCTTCCAAACACACATGAAAATTGAATGGTATGATTATAGTCCTTACCGAATGCACCAAATATATACATTGATCGTTCTAATTCATCTGTAGAATTTCGTGATGTGAAATTCACTTACTACACTAAAGACCCTAAAGATTCTTTATTAAAACCTGGGAAGTTCATATGTGATGGATTAAGTTTTAAGGTAAGCAAGCTTATTATGATGGTGTGTTAGTTTCAATAGATAAGTAAAGTTTTTCAACAAAATTATTTTTTTTTCATCGATATTATTTTTTCTTTGACCAGTTTTATAACTAATTTAGTTGTTATGGTAAATTTGCACAATGTTTCAAAACACAAAAAATAAAATTTGACATCTGCTGTGCTTTGAGATTGATTACGGTAAATTCAAATAATAAATGATTGGGAAATTGTTCTAATACGATATGGGATCTATGCGACTTGAATAAGTTGAACAACAACTACTTCTACTACACAAAGCTTCAACCATTATCCTTCACGTAATTCATAGAAGAGAAGTCGGAAAAAGCTTAATGTTCAAATAGTTCAAAATAGTAATAGTACAATTGTATGCGTATATAACGAAAAATATGACCTTGTAATTCAATGAAAATAGTAGACTAAGAGAGTAAACAATGAATCAGAAGTTCAGCAAAGGTCAGTAGGGTTTAATATAAATTGAAATAAGTTATCAAAGACTTCCTTACACGTCAGAACAACCATTTAACAAAAATGACTATACAACTTGAGGTCTTAACAATATCTCCCATGTTAATGAATGACATTTCAGTTTAGTTTATGTTATTAATTATCATCAAGTGAGTGATTTTTAAACCAATTATTAAGATTTGATGATGATGTTCACTTTTAAAGTCTATCGTATAAACTGACTGGATAGTTAGAGTTAATAGCTGTCAAGATATTCTAACCGATAGTTTCACTTCACGGTTGATTTTTTAGATGCCATTCTCACGAAAATAAACTAAAAGTCACTATCTTGACTGACCCCTCAATATTCCAATATGATTACATCGTTCATAATTTTTATTCCCTTATTTCACTTACGCTTTTCCAATCATATTCTCCATTTTTAATATTATTAACACTAGGTTTTTCATTTTTGCTGTCTATGTTGATGACTTCCTCTCTGTGTTCTAAAGTGATGCGACTAATTATGGTATATATATCCCTGCTGTCATAAAACATATAATTAAGAAATTCTTCTTTTTTGCTCGTTTCTCCTTTTAAGGTTGAACCTGGTCAACGTGTAGCTATTGTTGGTGAGAGTGGTACCGGAAAATCTACAATTGTTCGATTAGTCTACCGATTTTTTGATGTATCTAGTGGTAGTGTACTAGTCGGTGGTCAAGATGTTCGGTCAGTGAATTTGGAGAGTTTACGTCATGCAATTGCAGTGATACCACAGGTAATTCTGTGAGTAACAAATGCATACTTAAATTATTCAAGTGATTTGATTAGGTCAAACTGGTATAACATTTTATAAGAGCAGTTAAAATCTTAGCTATTATTACTCAAGTGAATCGTTTGTTGTCAGCAAACTTTGCCTTAACGTAACTTATGTTCATCTAATATAATTATCTGTAGTTTTAATGGTCACAATATATCATTAGGTAACTGACATTTCCGTAACTAACTTATTATCTAGTTTTAGTGTAACTGTTCCCTTTTCCCACAATATACAAAGTAGTTAATTATGTCTCACCCATCCCCATCAATCCATGCCTCCTGTTGAGTTAATGAAATTCCTGTACCTTTCCTCATAATTTGTTGACCAAAATCACTAAATGACATTCCTCAATAGTTCACTGTTCTATAAATGTCCACGATTATATCGTCATCGAAATCAGCCAAATTCAACCAGCTATCCGTCACTTTCATATTTCGTGCAACATCCCAAGGGCTGCTGTTTTCAATCGGATTTCATATATCAAATTAAAATGTAGTTTTGCTAATTATATATGTAAGAACGCTTTATCAGTATCCATGTTAATTGTCCTGTTGTTCCATAGGATACGGTTTTGTTCCATAATACAATATTTTATAATCTCCAATACGGTAACTTGAAAGCAACTCCGGAAGAAGTTTACGAAGCCGCTCGTTTATCGAATGTAGCCAATGCAATTGAGCGTATGCCACACGGATACGATACACAAGTAAGTGGAGTATTCGCTGTTTTTAAACCATATCATCAACTAGAAGTTAGTTATTTTATAAACCAGACAACCAACCCAATCTATTAAAGTACCTTAACACTACAATGCAGAACTACTGAATACTTGTGTATATTATATACCCTTCAGAAAAAGGCCCGATCGCAATTCAGTTATCCTGATGGTAAAAAAGGACACAATTTTCAGAGGCGCAGTTTTGGATCTTACGTACCTCATATTAATCGTTGACATTTATCCGGTCTGAAATATAAATTAATTTTTTTTACTAAAGCGTTAATCGTGATGATCTGATTAAGTTATGTAACAAATTTGTTCTAGTTGTTATGAAATTGTTTTGTTAACAGATTGCTGCAAGTTTATAGCATATAGATGTAACTAAGCCCTGATCAGGATCATTTATTATTATATATTGTCCAACATCTTAACGGTTAAAAGATTCACCTTCCAGCTACAAGTTAAGATACTATTCTGCTTACTTTATTTTGGATAGTCGGGTAGTAGGAAACAGCCGTGCCCCCAATAACTGACTAAATAAATTTATACTTCATAAATTCCTATTTATTAAGAATTAATACATTCAACATACTATAGTTGAGGTTTTTAAAGATCAGTCCTAGCTTTTAGGTTGCATTTTATCACAGTTTGATTTCAGTTGAGGTGCCATTAAAAGCTAGCGGACATTGGACAGCTCTATCACTGTACGTTACTCTTCAGCAATGCGAACCTACCGTCCCACCAGTATTCAAACCCAAGGGTCTTCAGGTGTCACAGCAAACTGCAAACCTTTAGAACCCTTGATTTGATGTCAAGCAGTTCGCAATTTGGGCGACAATCGTCTAATGATATCAAGAACAAGTCACTACTGACATGTCTGGACTCTATCAATCACGTGTTCTCATTAGAACTACAGGAACATCTTGAAGCAGGTCATTACAATACTGACTATTATATTTATTGGAAAAGTTTTGAAGATTGTCTTTATTTTTAGCTCCTAATGATTAGGCGTTCGCCTAGAGAGCAGACGTTCCTTGGTTCTATCTCCGATTTGTTTGTTAGTGCTCAATACTGAGGAGTTTCATACTGGAACAAAACAGTTGTCCAGTACCACTTGATTTGTAGTAATACCTCAACTGGGATCAATCTCTGATGAACATGACATACATTCACTTCGGATAATTGATCGGTTGTTCGTTTATTTTGATAATGTGCATATTAAACTTACATTTTATTTTATTTTTGGTTTTTCTTCGTAATCAAAGGTCGGAGAACGTGGTTTGAAATTGAGCGGTGGTGAAAAACAGCGAATAGCGATTGCAAGGGCTCTACTGAAGAAAGCTCCAATTTTGGTTTATGACGAAGCAACGTCATCATTAGATTCAATCACTGAACATGTATGTTTTTATATGTTCTCAATATCGATAACAATTTATTTTTCATTATAGTCAAGGTCCCAACTAAGTTAATGTTTATAACTTCCAACTCATGGAAATGAGTTGTGGCTATTAATAAATATATAATGTGTGCCCCTGTACGGCCGAGAGCGGGCAGAGTCAGCTCTCCCTCCCGAGATGCTCTGATATGGCCACGTGCATACAACTACCAGGGAAGTCTTACTCACTGCCTTTTCACGGCATTACTATTGTTTACGAAATTAACAGAACGAAAAGCGGATGTCCGGCGCTTTAACCGGGTTGGGGGATACGGAGGGTCCACCTAGGGGAGTTGGGAAACGCTTATTCCAAACCAGTGGTGTACATGGGCTCCAGGATCCTGAAGGAACAAATGGCTTATGAATCTATTGTTGGCCAACGACTACTATAAGACTGCATCTCCTGACGTTGCTCCATTGCCTTGTGGATTAGACCCTTAGGATGAAGGCTCAGGATGTGGTCTCCTAAGAAAACCACCTGTTTCAGTTTGGGCACTGGGGCAGTACTCCAGCCCTCACACAAAGCGAAGGATTTATGCGCCGCATATCTATTTGGTGCCTCCTTGTGTGGTGCGTGCTACTTATATTGATATAAGTAGTATATAACGTGAGTCAAAAGAACGTAATGTCTGGCAGCAGAAGACGGAGAAGATCAAGAAAAGAAGAGCGAGAAAACAATGGAATTTGTTAGAAACTGCATGAGCAATGAAATGCGAGACAATGGATTGATGTTTGCAACAGCAACAGCCCGGTTTGATATGATAGAATGATATTTTGCAAATTAACGATTTACTATATGGTTTTTCTATTTTACCAAGTAATTCTGTAATTTGTCCTAAATACAATTTGGCTGTCCTCACCCGTGTTCTTCTTCACTACATTTGGTGTCGCTGCCTCCACTAAGGATGAAGATTCCATGGCCGAAGGAGTTTGAGGACGGAGATGTGCTGAGCTTCCTGAAGGAGTTTGAGGCCGTGGCGGAGCTGGTGGGAGTGAAGGAGCCGAAGGCGAAGTTGGTGGTGCTGGGGACGCTGCTGAGAGGCAGGGCGAAGGCTGTGTATGACAGCCTGGACGGTGCTGGCGGAAAGACCACATGGGAGGCGGTCACGGAGCGGTTGGCGGCGGAGTTTGACAGCCCAGTGGACAGAGAGGACGCGCTGCAGAAGTTCCGGCTGGCGAGGTTGCCGGTCGATGGGGACCCACTGGTGCTGGCTGTGGAGCTTACCAGATTGTTACGCCGTGCGCTGCCGAGTCTGGATGAGGAGTCGGAGGCACAGTTGTTGGCGTCACAGTTTATCGAGAGTGTGCCTGCCACCGTCTCCCAACAGCTGAAACTGGTGAACGCAGCGCAACCGATGGATATCAGTGAACTGGCGAAGGTGACTCGTCAGCTGATGACGCGAACAGTAGCTCCGGTCGGGTGCGGAAAGCAGGAGATGAGTAATGTCGAGAAGAAGATTGAGGAGCTGGAGCGCGAGATTGCAGCAATACGAGTGAACAATAAAAGGAACGATAAATGTTACGCTTGTGGAGGGACAGGACATTGGAAGATAAACTGTCCAACAAGACAAAGACGCAGATATGTTAGACGTTACAACGAGTGTTCTTTCTATCCTAGGAATCTGGGGATTGTTGCATTAGTAGACAGAGGGGCAGTATATACGAGAGTGAACATAAATGAGCGAGATTTAGTTTGTCTGATCGATACAGGTGCAGCAGTATCGTTAATAGGCAAAGAGCAATGTAAGAGAATCAAGCCGTGTACATTAGCTGTCCACACGATAGGGGGCCATATGTTAGAGGTGTTTGGCGTATCTAACAGTATCGTAAAAGTGGGGGATGCGGAGATAAATTTTCCGTTCGTCGTAACCACAAGCTTATCGAGACCGATATTAGGAGCAGATTTCCTAAGAGAAGTAAAAACGATAGTTGACTTAAGAAGCGGTAAGGTGGTCACGAAATATGGTCCATTGACAATACACGAAAGTAGCGAAGTGGCTGAAATAAGAGTTGCGGCGGATGGCTCGTCAAAGAAACCAAACATTCACGAGTTATGCAAAAAGTATGCCAAACTATTCACTGGAGATGGGGAGCCGTATGGATTTTGTGACAGAGTAAAGCACGAAATACCGATAAAGAACAGTCGAGTAAATATATTTGCAACACGTCGTGTCCCGGTGCATTTAGAGGCCGAGGTAAATCGTCAGGTCCAGGAAATGTTAAAAGAAGGTATAATTGAGGAAGCGGACAGCCCATATAGCTCGCCGGTACTCTTGGTAAAGAAACCAAATGGAAAGTATAGATTTTGTGTCGACTTCAGAGAATTGAATAATATAACAGACCTGAAGCCTTGTGCAATGCCAACAGTGGTGGAAACATTAGATCGGCTACAGAATGCCACAGTGTTTACAGTGCTGGATTTACGGTCAGGTTATTGGCAACTGCCTATAAAAGAGAGTGATCGGAGCAAGACAGCGTTTACTGTACGTGATAAACAGTATCAATTTAAACGAATGCCGTTCGGGTTGGCGGGTGCACCGTTCACGTTCAGAAGATTAATGACACTACTGCTCAAGAATCTAGATAATGTCGAGGTATATGGCGACGACGTAGTTGTGTACAGTCAAACAGAAACAGATCACATCAAGCATGTGGAAGCGGTCTTAAAGCGAATTGACGAATTTGGACTTCGGATTAATAAGGACAAGTCGCAGATAGCGAAAAGTAGCGTCACATTGTTGGGACATAAAGTGGGAAATGGAGAAATAAAACCATTGCCGGAGAAAATTCTTACCATAAAAAATATTGCAGTACCTAATTCGAAAAGGAAGTTGAGACAGTTCCTGGGAAGAGCGGCGTTCTACAGTCGGTTTGTCAAAAATTTCAACGAAATAGCAGCACCCTTATATAAGTTATTGAGCAGCACCAAGTTTACGTGGACTGAGACTGCCGAACAAACGTTCAACCGAATCAAAAACATGCTAGACGATCGCCAGATGACGCTTAGACTGCCTGAACCGGGAAGACTGTTTACAGTGGCCACAGACGCGAGTGATCATGGTATAGGTGCTGTGTTGAGTCAGGCTGATAGAGTGGTGGAATACGCGAGTCGCGTCCTCACACCTGCTGAACAGAATTATTCAACCATCGAAAAGGAGTGTTTGGCGATCGTGTGGGCAGTGGAAAAATGGAGACCATACCTTTTAGGTAGACGATTTCACGTTGAGACCGACCATAAACCCCTGCAGTGGTTGAAAACAGCAAGAGACCCCCGAGGGAAGTTGGCGCGATGGATGATACGCCTGCAAGAATACGATTTCAGTATCGGCCATGTTCCAGGAAAAGAAAACGTAATGGCAGATTACTTGTCAAGACCAGACATGGAAGCCGACCTGCCAGTAACAGCATACGCGGTGAATAGTTTAGAGGGAGACCCATTAGAACTCGTCCGGCAGCAGAAAGCTGACCCTAACCTTCGAGAGGTAATCAGAGTGATAAAAGAGGGAGCAGACGTAGATAAACGAACAATGGACAAGGAGGTAATAACGCTGCTTCGGCAAAAGGACCGACTGAGAGTGAACTCATATGGAGTGCTGACCTGGCAGGACGATGATGAGAATTGGGTGGCGGTGATCCCGAAAGACTGGCGGCGTAAAGTGATACACGAGTGTCACCAGGTAGCACATACAGGCATCGCAAGAACGACGGACTTACTACGACAAAGTGCATACTGGCCGAGCATGAGAGAAGATGTGGCTGAATACGTGTTAACCTGCCAGCAGTGTCAGCTAATGAAAAGCGATCGATACACACAACCGCCATTACAGTCAATCCCAGTAACCGCAGTCGGTGATCTATGGTCGGTGGATGTGATGGGACCGTTTCCACAGACGGCGAGCGGTAACCAGTACCTGTTAGTGATGACGGAACATGCTACACGTTGGGTAGATGCCGTACCCATTGCAGACCAGCGGGCAAGGACAGTGACCGAGGTGGTAATCCGGCATATTGTAGCGTGTCACGGAATACCGAAGATGATATTAACTGACCAGGGTCCCTGTTTTGAAAGTGACGAGTTTAAAGCCCGTTTAAAGCAGTTTGGCATCAAGAGAATACGAACTACACCGTATCATCCTCAGACAAACGGGCTTACAGAGAGAAACAATCGGACGTTAAAGGAATGGTTAGCATCAAAAGGAGGGAATTGGGAGAAAGAGTTACCATTGATTTTGCTGGCACATCGTTCCTCCACACAAGGAACAACCAAGAAGTCACCTTTCTTGCTCATGTATGGCAGACAACCACGACTTCCAATGCATAATAAGACCTGGCCACAACAACAGAAGTGGACGACAACAAGGTTAAGAAAAGAGAGGAGAGAGGCAATAAGGAACGTGGAAAAGAAACAAATATCAGACACAAAGAAGGCAGAACAACAGAGGAGAACGTGGAAACCCTTTGCAGTGGGGGACCTAGTAAAGTGTAGAGAACAAAAAAGTAACATAGCAGGGGGAGCAGGGTCGGGGAAGCTGGCCCCAAAATGGGAAGGACCGTATGTTACACGGAGAGACGCGGCTCGGTCTACACGATCCGGAGAGAAGACAAGCAGAAGCGCGTAAATGCTAGTCAACTACAGCGATGGTTTCAAGATCATCATGGGTGTGAATCACGAAAAGCACCAAAGAACACAGCGGTACGGAGATCAGAAAGACTACGACAGCAACTTGTTAAAAGGGGGGACGAGTGTGGTGCGTGCTACTTATATTGATATAAGTAGTATATAACGTGAGTCAAAAGAACGTAATGTCTGGCAGCAGAAGACGGAGAAGATCAAGAAAAGAAGAGCGAGAAAACAATGGAATTTGTTAGAAACTGCATGAGCAATGAAATGCGAGACAATGGATTGATGTTTGCAACAGCAACAGCCCGGTTTGATATGATAGAATGATATTTTGCAAATTAACGATTTACTATATGGTTTTTCTATTTTACCAAGTAATTCTGTAATTTGTCCTAAATACAATTTGGCTGTCCTCACCCGTGTTCTTCTTCACTACACTTGTACCAATGTTTGTGTTTGAATAATTAATGCTTATGAGAATTGCCATTGTACACCAGATTTTATTTGTGAACAGACATCTCGTAACGGCTCTGGACCTAGATCAGATTACACAGAGTTACTCTTATTTTTGTTGTATACATATTAAGCTTATATGTTACATCTGTACGAGTGCTCACTGTTCATCAAATTACGCAAACTTCTCGAACTTCAAATCAATTACCATGAAGAGTAAGTGGAGGTGACGCGAAGTTTGTATTATGCCTATGTACACTGATTATGTACGATTTCGTTAGCCTTACATATCGTCCCCTACTCATAGATGAAGTTCATTTTCCAGGAAATCGATCTTCGGTAAGTACTTAAGAAGTTGTGTAAAAAAGTTAATTCCAAAACCGTGAAAAGGTGTTTGTGAGCTCTCAGTTTATTCAAGTTAGTTTGAAGGGGTTTCCAGGTATCACTAATAAATTAACTTAAAGTAAGACTTAAAAAAGTAAAGCGAAATACAGTTATCATGTCAACAAATACAACCATCTATGTGTTCAAACACACGACAGAAGAAGCAAATTGGTAATTAGACCGTCTAACTCATCATAATTTTTTCGGTATGACGGAAGTCATCATTTGAGATATGTACAGTAAGAAACATACCTAGATATTTTCCTCATTAACTACACCGATAGTTTGTTATCGAAAATGCATTTCGTCCTTGAAATAAACCGAAGCTTAGTTGGATGCAGCCAGTACTCTAAAAGAAACAACAATCTTCACCTTAATATAATAGATCGTAAAATTCATCACTTTTCCAATTGCTAGTGCACAGTTAAATACTTAGGTCAAAACACACGATTCAAGACGACAGAACTTGATACTGAGGCTCTGCTTATGTTGTAAGTCGATCGACTGGTGAATCTCAGTTGCGACACTACTCCGATTCATCGTACACAGTGGCACATCGATACCTAAATGATACCTGGCTAACAACATTCTTGATAGTAGTTTATGAATCACTGACACTGTTGGTGAAAGTCAAGTAAATCGATCCTATATATATATATATATACTTTTTTTCTTTTCCCTACTAAAATAATATAAACAAATTATGTAGACTATTCTTCAACGATTAGCAGAAGTTACACCTGGAATTACATCGCTTGTAATCGCTCATCGTTTAAGCACAATAATTGATGCTGATGAAATCTTAGTCTTACGAAATGGTCGTGTATCTGAACGTGGTACGCACTCCAGTTTACTATCACAACCGGATTCATATTATAGACAACTTTGGGATCAACAACGAAGTGGAATCTTACCCACTACTATTACGAGTACTACTGATAATTGTAACAGCAATGATAATCATAAAATATCCAATTCAGGCAGTCAAGATACAAACACCTAAGGCACTACGTATAAATATAATGGTTTGAGCTCTTCTTGAATTTTGTAGTCTGTAATTTTCTCCATGCCTACACTTGTTTGATAGTTTCAGTTTTATTATTTTCTATCCATTTTACTAACTTATTCATACTTGAACAGAATTATTTTATCTTATGTGGTTTTATGTTTATGTTAGATGAATAGTTAACAAACTACGTAACGTATTTGATTTGTTTTCATGGCTGCTTGTATCACAGGATAACTTTGTAAAGAAACAGACTGTATAATACATTTTGTTACACGCACACTGTTTAATTTTTCTGCCAACTAGATCATCACAATTGATGAATATGGAACTTATTCCATTTCTCTAAACTGTAGTGTAAAAAATTGATGCTTTAAATGAAATCGGCTGAAAACTCAGGACCTATCAAGTCAGTAAGACTGGTGGTCACATAGCAACTCTGAAATATAGGATTTAATTACCTTTTGGTAAGCTAATACTCGGCAAACCTATTAATTCCGTAAATATATTCATTCGGTTAGTAAATCGAACGGATTGTGCATGTGAACGTTGCCATCACTACGTTTTATCGGATCAGTGTATATTTCAATCCATTATCGTTAATCAGTATGCATGAGAACTTCCACTGCCATTGTGCTTCAGTTTTGATAAGGAAGAAAATTATGCTCTCAGCTAAGGGTTTAAATGAATATAGTATTCATTAATATAGATAGCAGTGGGCTTAGAAAATATGATATCCTGTCCAGAGAAAGATTCCATCACTTTGAATAAAGTCACAGTATTAGGTGTTATATGAAATTAAGTGACGTAATTACGTAGTCCCTATTCAACAATTGTTCGGAAACAAAACTCATGAAACTCAAATAATGAGTTGATCAGAATGTAGAAAATGACAAAGATATAGTAAGTCATTTAAGAGAAGTTTTGTTCCCCGAGTTGGATGGTTTGGTGGTGTTTTCATTGTTCTTCTCAACAACATCATCAGGACAAAATTCAGGTAGAAATGATGTGTTTGAATTTGTTCATATATGACTCAGCATGTTCTATCGATCTTGATTGGTTATTGTTGACCTTTAACCTGTCATTGTTTAATTTTTTAATTTGATTGTACCACACCATGTTTATACATGATTTTTCTGATTGGTTTATAAATTGGATCGGTCAACAATAACCACTCAAGCTGTGAGTCACGTGTGTGGAAATCCGAACGCTTAAATTTTACCTGAAATTTGCGCTGATGATTTCCAGATGAGAAATGAGTGTTCCACAACCAAACCATCCAGCTCAGAAAACAAAAGATCACCTGAGTGACAAATGTACTTCAAGTGGAAAATAACGTTTATTTAACATGCATATACTCAACTCATATACGAACAACAACGTTCATCAAAAATCCAACAATTCTATTTTCTCGTTAATAGCATTATAGATCAACGGCTTCGATACTGGGATAAACTGGTGTGTGATTAACTTGATAACTTCTTGTGCTACAACTCCACCCATAAATGCAACCACTGAATGCAGCTCATTACCACGGAACTGACACATTTCCTGTAGGTTAAAAAAAGAAGGTAGAAGTGGCGCGGCTTTAATAGATTGCAGAAAAAATAATTATATATATATATATATATATATATATATATATATATATATATATATATATCGTTTGCATCACTGACTAACTTTAGTTAGGCAACCACTGTAAACCAGGAAGCATTGGACAGCTGTTTTATCTTAGTGTGGGACTCAGCAGTGCACATCTACAACCTCACCGAGAGTTGAGTAGAGCATCCTTGGTCTCACAGCGATCGATTTAAAAGAATTTAGTGGATATCATTATATTTTCTGAATACTTATGACAATATTACAACCTTTCATGTAAATTGGGACAGAACATATAGGCGAACAATCCTGTTTTAAAATAGGTCTTCGTCAGACTATCAATTTAGCTGATACCATGGAGAAAGCTATGTCGATCCTAAGACTAGATCACTTAGCTTACTAGTTGACGAGTATCTGTTTTCGTGGTTCGAAAACGGTCTAACTGTATCTATATCCAGCTCCATCTTATCACACTTGGTCGATCATGATCATGTCGTGGATAGAACTAGAGCATTCATAGGGATTCATCAAATAATTATTAATGATCCTTTTCTTAGCCTTGTTATCATGCTGTTTTTTAGTCCTACACCAACTATATTAATAACAATTTTTACAATATACTCACTACGACTATTTATGTATCCTATTTTATGACGATTAACTCCAATTTTTTCGAATGATTCAATATTCTTTAAATATGTTTATAGATATTATCGTATCTTAGAAATATGAAGTTCTAATTGAACATAATATTGTTCTCTTAAATGTGAATAATAGCGTTGCTAATAAGTTCAAAAAAACTTCCACAGGACCCGAGTATCAATCATTTTAAAGTATTACAATTCTAGATAGGGAGTTAGTCATCATTAAAGTGCAGTTTGACACAATTATGTGTCCACTCAAGTTATATTGATTAAAAACATAAATAACAAAATAATTTAGTACCAATGATAATGAGAAAGATTATGAATTGAGAATATAGTTTTTAAAAAACTACATTATTTCTCGTAGCGTTCCAATCAGTTGCAGCGTTAAAGTCCACTATCAGAACTTTTGAAAGATCTACGTACTGTCATTATGTTGTGAGAGAAAGCCTCCAAACGCTCTGGTATGACTGAGAGTGGGGTGGGTTCGCCCTCCCTCTCGAAATGCTCTCACATGACCACGCGTATACAGCCTCCACCAGGGAAGTGCTACTCACTGCCTTCTCGTGGCATTACTGTTGTTTACGAAAATGAGAGGAGGAAAAGCGAATTTCCGGCGCTTTAACCGGATCCCCAACCAATGGTGCACATCGGCTCCAGTATCCTGCGGGAACAATTGGCGTATGAACCAATCGTTGGTCACCGGCTACCATGGGACTGCATCTCCTTACGATGCTCCACTGCCTTGTGGATCAGACCTTTAGGTCAAAGGCTTGAGGTGTGGCAACCTAAGAAAACCACCTGCTCCTGTTTGAGCACCCGGGCAGTATCACAACCCTCACACATATCGAATGAGATTTGTGTGGCGCATATGTATTCGGTGCCCTCCTGTACCAATATTTATGTGTTGAAATAAATAAAATTTTAAAAAAACTAAGAGGAATTTATAAAGTAAGATTGCGTCCATGTGACCGATTCTGTACAATGTTACTCAACCCCTCTAATCTCTGGCTGCGGTAATGTCTCAGACCAATTGGCCAACTTCATCGATTAAAAAGAATATTATTGAAAATCAAGATCTAGAAGAAGGTGGAAATGTGGGTGGATCTCCAATCACTGACATTGATTATTGTGCAAATCCCAAAAAGGTAGTTTACTCCTTATAACACAATCTGAATCAACAAGAATATGTTTGGGCTTTGGATCCTACACTGGATACTTGATTCCGGATCAGCAAATAACTAGATTGGTCGGTCATAATATTTGATCAAATGACACACTTGACTTAATTATCTGGCTAGCTAGCCATCAAGAACTAGAAATAGGTCACAGCACAACAGTAAATTAACACATAAAATGCAATCACAAAGTGGAGTCAAATTGAAACACAAGTAGGGTCAGTTTTACATATAAAATAGTGTTTTATTTTTACTGTAACTAGATGTGTCTGTCTTTGCTCACTCACTGATCACAGATTACTCCCACCTAACTTTTCGGGGCTTTTAAAGACATTCAGAGAACACAAACTGATAATTTTAGTATATCACACTGCTAATTCGTTTTTATCAGTATTACATACCGTAGGAAATATAATTAAGTAAGTACATTACCTCTAAATAATCTGTGCTAACACGATTCGTTGCAATCCCAAACGACTGGAGAACACGATTTAAGTGTATCCGTAACGTTGGTAAGTCAGATTCAATGATGTTCATGTCTAACTGTTCAGAATTTGTAGCGGAGAATTGTTCTTCATGTGGCACTGGAATTCCAGTTGAGTTTTGATTTTGGTTGTTAGAACTGAATTTACATGTGGTAGTATAAGGCTGTGAGCTACCAGGCCACCGTCCAGTTTCCATCAGAAAACTACTAGCACCTCTAAGAACTAAATACCACAACATGGAATCATTTTCTTTGTGTGTTGGGAGTAAATCTAAAAGAAAATACCAGAGTTCATATATTGTATACGGACAGGCCACTAGAATTCATAATAAATAATAAGTAAAGTGACTGTGTAATTATGCTCGACAGAAGACAGCCATCAAGAAGTTTGAGTTGCTTTTTTTTAAAAGTATTTAGTCTATTGCGAAATAGTACACTAATGCTTTAAATTAGGAGGTATTAAATCCAAGTTTCTAGTAAAACTACCATAACTAACTAAGCAGTAAAAATATCTAACCGAAGAATTGCGAATATTCTCTTATTTTAGTTATTGAATGTGGGGATTGATGAATCAATGCACATTTGTGTCTACAGTTAATTGAAACGGTAATCCAAAAATTCGGATACGCTGCTGACCAAATGAAGTGGAAATCACTACCTGCTTCATAGCCAGTACTTATAAAGAAGAGCAGATTCTTGAAAATCTTAAAGGTTAGTACTAGATTCATAGTGGAGCTATGCTACCTTGGAAATGGAACACCTGAAAGAAAATCAACGTCTACAAGACAACTTTTGTTGCCATAATGAAAAACGGGTATGACTTGCTTAGAATAAAATCATTGATACTGATAAAGAAACACAAATTTTAACAATAAATAGGAATTTACTCAGATCGTCTGAACGCGCTGGTGAAAGTTTCATTTCCTCTTCTAATGACCGACAACGTACAACATTCAAAAAGCTTGCATTTTTAACTGAAAATAATGCATTAAAATGTTAATCAACAAATGAAAATAAAATAAGGTCCAACATCTGAACAGTCTAATTACAGTGAGATTTTTCGCAAGCGAAAATAGTCATTGTTTCAAAATACCACTAAATGCTTTTATTGAGACGAGAGAGTTTCCGTTTGGATGTATGTAACAAATTATTGAATGCCTGCGTCCAAATAATTTTCTTAAAATTAGATATTTACAATGAAACACCTAGGAAAGTTTATAATCAAAAAAAGCGTAGCAGAATAAAAGGACAGTCATCGAAAACATAATGGAAATACACAATTTGATTTCCGCAGTCGATTAGTATCACTAACCTTCACACATGAACGGTACTCTATACATTAATCAAAACTTAGTTGCCGACTTATATTAATCAACATAATAATGATTAACAATTTATTAGTTTTGAGGGAAATTTCACCTTTAATGCGAAATTTCCCAGACTATATGCTTGTCTTATAATATCTAATTTATTGATTGAGATAAATATGTTACTACATTGAAGATAAAGAGACATCTTTACATTTCTCTAGAATATATTTCAAACATATAAACAATCACAACAGCTAGTCAATCATAAGTAACGCAGGACCTGGAGCACACATTTGTGTACCAGTTCAGGCTCATATACTATATAAACACTGAGTTGAAATAACCAAAACAAGTGCCAGAGTAGAAGAACTAGTAACAGTACTAATTGCAGTAAAAAAGACTAGGCACAGACTGTATGATTCAGGAAAGACTGAATTATCACGATAAAAAGTAGATAATTTTTAAACTCAAGATCCAAGAATCTGAGTAACTACAACTGACTCTGAACCGTTCCACTCAGTGGTTAGAATACTCGAGGAAGCTGCACCTATGCCCACACGGTACAGTTCAACAACCAATGATAAAAAACAACTGAATTGACATTGTTAACTCTATTTTTTTAGAATTCTTTTTGTGGCAATCTGTATTTAGCTCGAAAATATTAACATCATAAATATTAAGAACGAAAGCTGTTCGAGGACTCACCAAAAAGACGTACGTCGTCTACAGAAATATCAGGGAACTAAAATGCAAAAAATAAAGTAGGTATAGTCGTCAGGTTCAAGTCCCAATGTGAACATCGAAATTGTGATTTAGGTATATCTATATAAATGCCTTCCATCATTAAAGCCTGTGTCTCAGAGTTGGGAAAAATAATACAAAAGGAGCTGCTGCATAGTGTCTTCGCCTTTTGTTAGGGAGATGAAAATCTCGTTGAGGTCAAAGGTGGTCGCTGTTGTATCTGTTCTGTAATTAAGTCAGCTAAAAGATCACTTGGACTAATTTTACAACTACGTTACGCGGTACAATTAGATTAGGAAATGACTCAAACTAGTCCTGAGGCAAAATCACGCAATCGGTAGAAGAGAAGTCTATATATCCTACATTTTGGCATCACCATAAAAGATATGGATCTTTATCATTTATAACCATAGAATCGATGATAAAAACTTCAGATTGGATATTAATTCCGGGAAATTCAGATAACGAATAGCTACTAAGACCAAGGCACGTGTAAAAAATAAATTCTGGTTATAATATAGAATGCGAGTATAAAATGAAGAAACATTCTCACTACGAAAGCTCGGATGACAGAATTTTTGCAGTTTTTCCCCGACAGAATATTTTTCTACTGCTTGGGATATTTTCTACTACTTATTGTTTCAATGATATGATACATTCAATCAAACAGGATTTGTTTACACAAATTATCTCAACATAAAAAGTTGAATATTCCTTTTAGAGATGTAAAAACGATTTCTTAAAACTTACTTGCAATAATCTTGAGGCAAGGCGTTCCACCGCCCATTCAGAACGTTCACGATAAATAGACAAAAGCTGTAAATAACGCTTCGAATCAGATATCATATCTGGTAGACTACCACGTACAGGTAATTGTCCCTCACCTTCATGTTGAATAAAATCTCGTAGAGCACGAACTAGACGCCAGAATTTTACAGGTGAAATAGTTGTGTAAACAGAATTTTTTCTGTGTAATTGATGGTGGTTCCTGGTAGGAAACTTTAGATTCTATTTATGTGAGTAGAGATATACAGTGAATAAGGTAAATTTATTAGATCATATAGATGAATTCTTTCAGAAATGTGGAATGTTGTATCGGCAGACAATTTTGCGCAAACAGTGTTTTAAATTTTGTACCCACAATTTAACGAATTTACCAGCAATATACACTAATGTTGTGGTGGCACAAAGAAGCACTAATTTACTTAATTACTGACTCATTCTTCGTTCTTTGATTTACATAGAAAGTAATTTCAGCCAAAAATTTGAACACAATTTCTATTCTAAATACGCTACAGAAAATGTAATATAGTGAGGGTTTGAAAATGAGGATGGAGTAAGCGGATAATCAACTTTCGGAAGCTACTCAGAAGGTTCTCTTAAATATGCTCATTAACTCTGTAAGATAACCGCCTATGGACGTTGTACACAGAATTATATGAAGTTAGATTTACTCAATTTACAACGGTTTTCAATAATATTTCTAACTATAACATAATTTGATAAGAGGATAATACGTGTGTACCACAGAAGTAATTGTTGTTAAACCTCTTTTTTAAAACAACAGTATCAATATGTATATGAAACCACTAAATATTTAAAGCAGATAATCAACTTTTAGCGCAAAATAATGCCTAGGAATGTTAAGAAATAATCATTAGCTTCACTAGGAAAGGAACTTGATGAAACCAGTGACCTTCAAGATGTGAGAGGTTAAGTTAATTTTAGTACAGAAATTAATAAATAAATCCTAACAAAATATGTAATTTCCCGTATTTACATACTGTATTACTGGATCCCGAAATACCAATATTTGTAAGACAGGGATCATTACAGCGGTCATCCTCGAGTAACTTCTTCACATTTTCAGGAATCTAAAACATAAAAAACTTACTTAAATGATCCTATAAAATAGAAAAACAAGTGTAACCTTGAGATAATTACATAGTACATTGATCATATAACTATGATTAACACGATACTAGTAAACACACCAATAATAAAGAGCTAGGAACAACAATTTAGGATTACAGATATAATATGCAAAACCATAATTTTGAGACTATATTCATATATGAAAGGAATTATACAACTGTCGTAAGTAGAACTCTTTATCTAAACATCAACTTACTATGATGGGTGACAAAGATATATGGGACAGAAAAGAAAATTTATCACCACTATGACGATACATCCAGAAAAACAGTATGTAAAAAATAACGAGTCAAAGAGGAGAAGCAGTTTCGTTGCCTTTTGGTTTTCTCAGCAAGAAAAAATACTGTCATATTGTTTAAAAGGGGTTTGAGTTTAATGCGATTCAGATTACTAGTTTACATAATACTAGAAAGCAGTGTATAGTAAAACAATCAAATAATTATTGCCTAACTCGGTAATTCCAAAGCATTGAAGATTCAAGGATTTGTAATGGTGATGGTCGATTAAACCATAGTCGACTTATTATTTTCTTAAAGTGAAGAACCTGGAAAACAGACGGAACACTAAGGTTTCGGTGTTCATTAGACATGACGTAAACAGTATATTTCGCGAATTTTAACAACGAACAGCCACGTATCAAATAAAGGAGTAAAGTAACCTTTAACTACTACTGTGCCACCCAGTAGGGAATTTTGTAACATCAAATCGATTAGCACCATGTGACTACAATTATAAACAACTTTTTGAAAACACATCTGCAGGAAATAAACTAACTGTAGTCGGTAGAACTGCTGTATTGACTGCCTGACATGCTTCTTGAAAATTCTCCAAGACAAAAGATGAATCCAGGTTATTCTCACGTTTACACAATTGACTCCAAAGATCAACCGCACCTAGAAAATAGATGATTTGCAAACTTGACAAAAACTTCACTAGAATACAAATGTATCCTAAATAAAATTGATGCAATAATGTAAGAACGATCATATAAACTATTTAAGGAGACACAGACTGGTAGTTTGTTTTATAGAAACAAAGCTGGTGCAACAAGTTAGAATTCGGTGCCTACATATCTTCATGATAGACGTAAGTTTCTGTGTCTCAAGTCGCATCTGTCATGTTCAACAAATAACATCCAATCAGATTGAATTAAATGATATATATGTAATCAAGCGATAAATGAATGGTGACCACACAAGCTTTTACACCAAGGATAATTATCACATGTCGGTTTTTAGAGGGATATCTCGATATCATTTATTTTCACTTCACGATTACAGTAGGAATCCTTTATCAGCGAAATATCGGTAAAGGTTTCAGTTCGATGATCTAATAAGTTTAGTTCAAATCGACGAATCAAACCTTCTTGAATATCTGGGATACTTGTTCCAGCCATCTAGATATTTCAAAGTTATATGTCTTTTGTTTGTTTCGATAGATTATTATGTCAATTAGTTGCACAACCTAATCAGGTGTGTTTGTGAAAACTTCACGACCTTTCACTGTACAAGTAAAGAAAGAGTACAATCAGAGACATTGTGGTTGCTGTCAATATGCATCGAAATGAATGTACGTTATTCGGATGTCGATTTCTGATCTGCTAACACCTAATTGAGTAGTTGTTTAAGCTGATACTACTACTGTACTTTAATATTTAATTTTAGAATTTCTCCCTGTTGTACTTACATGGTGCGACAAACTGGGCCGATGTACATATATGCCAGGTTTTATATTGCTTATGACTGACTGTCTGAGTTAAGCGATGAATATCAAGATGATAGTAAGTCTAGGGAAATTAAGGTTTAACATTTCACAAATGAAAGTTATCATTAAGGCAAAATGTTAAGTCTATGGAAACATTTAAGTAACAATACCATACACTGGAAATGGAATAGAAACGGACGAATAATGGGTGGTTACCTTTAGAAATCATATCTTTAATCTCTGCCTTTTCTTTATGATTTCTTGGGAAATGGCCGTGCTAAGAAAAGTAGGAGTCGAAAAAATGTAAATTAAGTGAGTGGGACAATTACACAACCACAACACACTAGATTAAATATATTTTTTTTAAACAGAAACAATATATTGGAACTGAGGGACTAGTCCAATAAAATGGTGACGCAATTAACTGCCTGAAATAGAGCAAATTGAAATTAAAGCCGAAAATGAAGTGAAATATAAGATACTATCACCAGCAATCAATACAATAGTGCTTCACATCAATTATCAATAACTTGACAATTCGTTTTCATATGATCACCTGATGACTCTGAGGTTTATTCAACTAACTACAGCTTTGCACTATGTCATTTATTCAGTACTTGTTAAGGGTTGTAAATACTACCAGGTTATGCAAACCAAAATAGTTTGGAACATTTTAATCAGTGATTCAATGGTAGAAGAAAAAATCTACAAAATATCGAGCCACAAAGTCTGGGTTAAAAACTTACTAACTTTACGACACTAAACTCATATGCCTACATTTTGTTTGTAGCATTCACAGAGTAGCATTCTATTAACTTACAAACAGAAATAACAAAGGACCTAAAGTAGTTGTGTACCGTACATTACTAGGGAAATCAACACAACTGAAAGCCAGGACCCTAACAGTAGTACAGGGATATAAAAACAATAGAATATAAAACCCTTATACAAAAGATATAAGTGGTTCAAAATAAAGAGATGTCTATGAATTGCAGGGATACAAAATTCTTTGCCTCCGCCTAGAGTCCTACTAGGGTTACTGACGACACTAATCCCGAATAAAGGGGGGAATTGGGCCTTAGATAAGCAACCTCATCCCGTAAAAATAACCCTGTTAAGACATTAGCAATAAAACATCACGAAACGTTAGCCACAAACAGTAGTTATTAAATTAAACTACAAAGTCTAAACTTGATAATCTAGGTTTGTTAACAGACAGTTTATAGGGTTCATACTTTCCAACACAGCTTATTTCGATAGTTAGAATGTTCATAATTTGACGAAGTCTTGATCTGATAAACATGGCCGGTAAGAGTAGAGGATATTCGTAGGTTACTAGTATTCGAGCATAGGTGTCTTAGAAACATTGCTCGTATATCATGGGACCATCGAGTAAGTAACACAGTTGTTAGGAATCGGGTACTAGGTAAGGATAGCAAATCAATTGATGAAGTAGTGAAACTTCATCAGTTGAGGTGGCTGGGACATGTGTTACGTATGCCCAACCACCGACTGCCTCGACGTGCTATGTTCAGTGGTATAGGAGTAGGTTGGAAGAAAGCTAGGGGCGGCCAAACCAAAACGTGGCACAAGTCCATGAAGTCACTGACGAGTGGACTGAGTCATGTTGGTAGGTGCAGACTACCTGGTTGGGGACCGCGAGATGATAGCAACCGATGGTTAGAGACCCTGAATGACATGGCTTAAAATCGTTTGCAATGGCGCAGGTGCATCCACTCTCTGTGTTCTCCCAAATTCTAATCTTCTGAATTCTTCATGTCCCTTTTTTCCTCTTTCCAAATTTATTTCACTGGATTATACTCCTTGAATAACATCTCCAAACCCTAATTCTCCCGACTGCTGCTCATACTCTTATTACCTCTACCATTACGGGATTTGAATCGACCACTGCATCTCTATGCTAATGTGGTGTGGCAACTCGAACTGATGTACGTACGTACGAAGTTCTACGTTGTTACTGACTGACTGATCTGATAAACGTGAGATGATTTTTGATCTACTTGTATTCAACCTGGTAGTAAACTTTCCCTAACATATGCTTTAATCATTGCAGTTTACGATTTTACATATCTAATGATGAAATTGCTTTTCTTTTACAGGACGCATGGTGAACTTAATTTCTAGTTTCTGCATGAATATTTAAACGATCGAATGAATAATGCCACTAATTGAAAGCTAGTCCTATCAACGTTTCCAAATGGTTGTTGTAAGTTGGCTAAATAACTGCAAAAAAGGATGTATAAATATAAGCTACAGATTAGAAAATAATTATCGTTACAACAGATGTGACGTCAGACATAGCTTCGAAAACAAGAAATGAATGAGTAGTACACTAGTCACTCAGCCATGTTGAATACGGCACATATTTATACTGGTTTAATTTGCTACACCGCCTTATTACAGAGATGAAATTACTAAGCCAAAACATGTAGTTGAAGTAGTAAAAATATCAGGAGCAATGGGAAAAAATAGGCAAAGAAAGAAAAACGATTTTTGGACTGAACATTTGAGGGGAGTTTAAGAGTGAATGTATCTATGACACTACGATTAATCTGAGCCATATCACCTGTGCATTAATATTAGCGACAAACAAAACAGAAACCGAAGACACTGACCACACATAAAAATTAAAACAATTTTCCGACAGCAGTAAAACTTACTAGAGAAATAAACTTCTGCAGAAAAACATAAACAATTATGAGCCACGGTGTATGACAAAGCTTTTCAGATGTCATTTCTTCTAACGGTTGTTCGTCTACCATTTTAACGAAATCAGGAAATGGTCGATCAAGTCTTAGATCAGGGCAATAGGAATCTGGATGTGACTCGACTATCACATGTTCAGGAGAACAGATTCTTAAATATCCAATGACACCAATGCTGAAGCATACCACCAAAGTGATAGAAGTACCACTTAAAAGCTGACTGAGACGAATGAGTAATCTATCAACAAAAGATTATAAACATTTGTATTGGTTGTTCAAATTTATGCACTAAGATTACAATTCTACAAATTGGTTAATTGATATTTTAAATGAAGATCCAACATAGATATTCTGATGAACTCTGAAATCTCGGATTACTCAAAAATCATATTATAACTTCAATCTTCGGATATCAAGTTGTGACGTGACCAGAGTAGCATGAAGTCATAGTTTTTTTGTCTGCAGCTACTCACCCATTTGAATGCCCGAACTGAACAAAAATTATTTCAGATTGTCACATTACTAACACGACCAATACATGTAATAAATGATGACGAATTAATTAGACACCAAATCATACTCTGATTAAAAATATACGCAATTAGTATGTGCTCAATCTGCTTTATCATTGTTGTGGAGCTGAAGATGAAATCAAGGTGCTCGAATTGAGGTAAGTGGAAATATCTTGAACCTGAGAACTTATGATTAACGGTGTAGATCACTGAATTAGAGTTTCGTCATAACACTAAACGCAGTGGTAAAATTTTTAATACAAATTCACTTTTTTTTTCAAGAGAAACCCACAAACATCTGACAATTGAAACTAAATTTCCGCTCGTGAATTTGAATATGCAACCACAACCGCTATTGTGTAAGTTCCTATCAGTAATACTCAGGCTAACGGTGACCAAGTAATTTCTGATATTCTGGTACGATTACACTGTCATTGCAAAAACATTCAAGACATTGAGAAATGGTAATTTGAGTAGAGAAATCAGCAAGGTAGTACACCTGATATTATTTTAAGTTCTTGAGGTGGTTAACGATGGATGGATGTTCTTAATAGTAAACGCCGACAATTCAACTTTTGTGATCATATGAAGTCAACACAAGGAACCACTGGATATTGACTACTAATGGAGCGTGAATACAATCAAGTTCTCAGTACATACGTCTCAATGTATAGCGTGTTTCTTTATTTAAAAAATAAAAAATAAACAAACCCACTCGTAAAATACTTAATATATACCACTCTAAGTTTGAGGAGTAATTGTGCAACCCGGATTTCCAGACCGAAATAGGTAGAACGAGGTTCGTGCATGGGACTTAGTTGCTGAATATCGATCATTAGGGATCGAATCACAACATATTTTGCTAGTCACAGTCAACGTAGGAACTGATATTAACGTCAATCGACTTGAGTTGCCATTTCTATCAAAGTGAGGAGTTTCGGCATGCACAAAGTTTTAAGATTCAGGTTTTCTGGTTGCGCACCATACTTCATAAGTATGGGAACGTGGATACATCGCACAAAAAGTTACTGGATCTACCCACCGGTATGCACGATGCATACATAAGCATGTACGCCACGGGAAAATAGTGGCCAGTTGTGCATACGGGTAATCAATTGACTAATATTGAGCTGACCAGAAAACGTGACATACGAAATGACAAGATAGTTTGCAAATATTGGTACAAAATCAGGCTCAGTTATGAACAGCCAATCATGAACAAAAACAACCGTTACTTTTTTGCCATTTTGTTGCAAAACTTGCCCGAAAACAGGTTGAGAATATGTAATATCGGTAATATTAAAAAAATGCATTGGGAAATAAATCTCAAGTAGCCTGCAGATAAGCACAAAAGATCAGTTGGTTTAACACGAGTTTTCTAAACACTGATTCTCTAGGGGAATTTATGAACCATATGGATTAAAACATGCTTTAATTTAACAGTTTCAAGTCGACTCAAGAGTGACCACCCAAATTTTTTGACAAACTGAATGTCATATAGAGCAATATGAGAATGGAATAAAAATTCATTGTGTACGTGCACAAAAAAGACGAGGAAACGGTTATTACGAACCAGTCAGTCGCGACGTATAACCTGGTATAAATGTACACTGCTCTAAGTCTCAATAGCCTATATACACTGAGAGATCGTCCGCTCAAATATCAAAATAGTAGGGGTAGTAACGTAAATATTTGTGAAGTGTACAGAGGAAATTGCCGACCCTAATACCCTCGCAGATCAAAAAGTCATCACTAAAAAACAAATTTGACAGATTTAGGAATGCGAATCCTCACTTTTCTCTGGCATCTGTTACGATAACAATATCAAAGGACAAGAAAATTTGAGGGTCGTTTTCTAACAAATCGCGAACATCCTGTTAGCGCTAGATATATCTTGTAACAACAAACCTCGACCAAGTAATTTCCATTGACTTCGTCATTTAGCTCCAGTAAAGACTCTGTTACAACCTGTGCCCTTGCCTGAGAAGTTTTTTGCAATGGAATGTTGTGTAACTACCTTTCCGATATGATCTTCTGTAACGAAGAAACTAAAAATTTATATGATAAGACGTTCGAGTTACTTGCTTCCTAAATCTTTGTCAGTTACGTAGGAATCATCTATAATTGTGAAGCTGCCGACGCCTGAATGTTTCAGATTGTGTAGGTATAGGAATACCTGGAAGTACTAAATTTTTCAATATTTCTGCCCCCAAACCTTCAGCTCTCAAAAGACACACCTTGGCATACTCAAGTGCAAACTGCCCATGATCGCCCCATAGCCTCAACTGTCTATCATACCGTTTGTCCTTCTCACTCCTATGCATTGAGTTGCGCCATATCTGAAACAAGCGCTAGATGGGAAACTTTATCCATACATATTGTACACCACAAGCAGTCAACTCAATATCCCATCGATCTGAAATTTCGTTGGTCCTCCATAGGTGTTAAAAGACATGTGAGATGGATCTCGTACTTTGAAAGATCTGAAAGTACAATTATTGCTTGAAAGTATACAACAGTATTCCCACAGGAAATTATGAATATACTTATTGTCTTGAATAATCAGATTTTATATTGGTAAATTATGCTTAATTTGCGTTGACTGAATGGACTATTGGGTTTTACGACAAATCTAATAAAGGGGGGGTTCTCTACTTTGGATAATACTCGCTAAAACAAACAAGAATTAGATGAGTTATGATAATCGTGTGAAATCTAATATGTACCGCACGCCTGCCCAACAATAATATTTTGCTTGAAATGTATTATTACGTTCCATAAAGTAACTTTTGAGGAGGTGTATGTCAAAGCTCAAACATCCAAACGAGGTTACACTTTTTATCATTGTGATTAGGCCCGATCTGGAACACTCTCAGCCTATGTGACCACTGCTTATTCCGTGAACAGCTTTATGAAGAGGCTTGACAACGAGGTATAAGTCTACTATAGTTCGTCGTCTTTCATCTGGCAATCTGTACCCGATAAACATCCTCAACTTGTGATTATTGATATTATGAATTCTAGTATCATTACAACGACCCACTTAGGCTTACTACTCCTCGAAAGACATAGGCCGCCGGTAGAGTATATGCAGCCCTCGCTGTACTGGGATCTCCTTACCAGTTGGTTCTAAAAAGCTATTAATCTGTTTGATATATGTACACAATTCTCGGCGCGATGTGTTGACGATTAGTTTAATGAAAACAATTATTAATATTATAACCAACTGTACCTGTGCATGTTTTAATATACTCTTTGATTAACTGTGCCGAAAACATCCATTAAACTTACTCCGATCGTGACCTCGCGCCAATCCGGTTACGCTCAGTAACCAAGCTTGTATCCTGGCACGATCTCGGTATTTTTTTGATACCATGAGATCGCCAGCAAATATATTTCAACTTGGTCCATTAACTGCCTTCTGATATTTGGCTTCCGGGGGATTTTATGGATTAATTTGGTACGTGTTTCTTGGTAGCGGTGTTCATACTCAACTGAGACTCGACACCACGCTACAAGAACATGTTATTGGTGATAATCTACGGGCGTGGAATTCAGAGTGTCTTGAGTAGACAACTCTTCGTAAATACCTGTTTATTTATAATGATGGTCATAGTAGTTCTCCAGGTCCCGACTTCGCAAAGTAGGACTGTTCGACGTTCTTATTCATAATACTGAATTCCGTGTTGGCTGAGATTGGTTACGAGTTCTAAATGTTCCTCAGTTAATGGATACTTTCCTTGACTTCGCAATCAGTTGTTTCATATCTGCATCAAATCCTCGATTATCACTTGTAATCATGTGGTACGTCAAGGTTAACATCACTTTCAAAGCTCTTCAACAAAGTGAGATTTGGTTAGCACTTCTTTCAGTGTGTTAGAATTTCGTTCTTTCAAATGTGTGTTGGGTTCTAATGTTTCAGAGGCTGCATCTACATTGTCTATCTTCGCCTCCGTTCGTTGCCGTGTATTTGATAGAAGTCTATTTGCAAAGTGCTAATCATCCAGCAGCATCCATGGGACTGTCACGGAATTTCGGCAAAATCGTACCTGGTAAACTGCCTGTAGATCTTTCAGAAAAGATAATGTTGAAGATGTCGGCGTATCACTGAACAAAAACGGCATTAATTGTTGTTAGTAACTCGACGTCATTTTTCTCTTCGCGATACTTAGGCTTAAAGCACCAAGTGCCATATATGTAGATTACCGACGTTATTTTCATTAACTGAATGGGAGTGGTGAGTCGAAAGGTGTATAATCTTAGGAAGAATGCTGGGCATTATCATTGTTTAAATCTTGAAGAACAAAATCTGATACTGATGCACCGCGTTAACATAATCAAAAATAATATGCATTAGAGACAAGTCACCTTCCTTCTTTTTACATATCGATATGTCATAGGTAGTATGGTTATACATTTGTAGTGGCGTTGGGCCCTAACCACACAAACCTCAAGGCTGAACACGGGACAACTGGGAAAATAGATATTCAATAATTACCGCAGAGAAAAACCCAACGATGGAGAAAGAGGGAAGAATGAATGGAATTAATTAGAATTGATCGGACAGCATGGCTCAGCCTTGAAGACGTGTTCACCTTTAAGTGTTCTAACACAATTTTTTATTCATCTCAAACATATGGTTCTATCTCTAGCCTAAGTTTGTTCTCCACCATATATTGCTGATTGTTACGATGCGATGAGTTGGTGTAGACAGTGATGTGACTTTCACGTCAAATCTTACGGATTAGGCAATTACATCATGACGAATCAGAAATTTAAGGATCAGGTCTATTATTAGAGTAGTAATGATAGTAGACCATAGTTGACCATCATTCTACACACTGGACAGGATTATCAGTCACATAACACTTGTAACGTTGTGTACTTCTTTCATACAGACCCCAAAATTGTCTCAAATTGTAAATCGTCGCCCTAACATACTACCTTTGAAGGTTCATCCATCAACAATTAATTGAACAATAGAGGCAATCAGACAGATTGTGACTGAACTCTAGCAAAATTCCAAACATTTTTGATTTAATAGTTTCTGTAAAAACTTGGAAGATTTTGACAATCCATAGGATACACGACTATTACATTCAAAGCTAACGTTGTACACTAAATTAGAGGATAGCTCATCGGAACTGGGAGCGTTAAATACTGGTTTAAAGATGAAGCAACACTGAACAATTGGATGAGCTACAATGGAAAAGTTTAAAAGACACTTCCGTGGAGATACCAAAATCTTCAGTTAGTTTAAGAAAGATTTCAACAACTGAACTTAAATCTTACGGTATCTTATTAAAAATAACGAGAACGTTATGGAGAGTTACTGGATAATAATCTAAGAGGCAACAGTATCAAAATTCCATGAACGCTGAGGCCCAATAATCGAAACCAAAAATGATAGATCTTTATGGATACAGAAGCCAAAAGATGACGGGAGAAGAGCAATGAGAATGAAAAGCTGAAATTCATAGATGATAGAGCAGCGAGAGAATAGTCTCCAAAAGAAGAAAATATGAGCGAACCATCCGATAAAATCAAGAGGCCTGCATGAAAATACAGTAGAACGAGGTATATGTAGGAAAACTTGTAGAGATCCAATTGCTGAGGTCCAAGAATAATTTGGTAGAGAAATTTAAGTAAACTAAACACAATGAATTCACTTGGTACTGTTTACTGGATCCAGGACTTAGTAGCTAAGTGGATGACGCGATGGCGTATCGTCATAGTTCTAGCAGACAAAGTACGCATCACAGAAATTTCGGACAAAGAAGAATACGTCAAAGAAGCCGAAAAACTACTTGAAGATAAGAGCACATACAAACTAATGGATATAAATCCAGTAAAAAATTAGACAACCTAATCTCAAAGACTTTAAACAAGCTAGATAAAGCAGGAGAAATAACAAGATAAAATCAATGGAGAATGAAATGCAGTACTCCCTCGATTCTACGGCAGACCAAAAATACACAAACTAAACATTCCACCACGTCCTATTGTAGCACCCTTCGGAACACCGACAGAAAATTTGTCAAAAGAAATTTCGCGAATACCGAAACATTTAGTAGATTCATTCAACCACACCATCAAATCCCCTACACAATTCCATGACAAACATAAAGAACATTGTTATACATTTACTGCACGGCCATTTTTGTATTTTTTGAATGAAATTTTTTTCATCCCCATCTTCCAATAATTTTCATTCTGTTTCGTCTAATCAAATAACTAGTTTGGACTTCGTTATAATTGGTCGTTTATTTCTTAAAATCGATATGAAATATGAGGATTTGACGACAGAGCACATTTTCTTACGACTATGGACGGTAGTAACATGCAAAGTACGGGCTCCGTCGTTCCTCACGTTGTCACAGAAACCGATAACCTATTCTTGAGCACATTGTATCTCGTAGCGTTCCAATCTCTTGAAGCGTTAAAGAGCGCCATTAGAACGTATGAAAGAGCCACGTACAGCCATTATGTGGTGAGAGATTCTCATTTACATAGAGATCGGAAGTCCTATATTAAATTCGTATGTTGGAGAAATGGCCGTAGAACATCTAGCGGTTCCTCACAGCCGAGTAGACGAACGAGGTAATTTGGTTAGTGTTGTTATAATTTTTCATAAAGGACTTTCGTGAACACTCAATGTCCTTCCTTCATCTTTTGTAAGTTACCGACTATCAAAATAACGTCAATATGGATGCAACGTTAAGCAATAACGAGGAAGAAATTGTTTCGATGAGCTCAGAGGAGTTCACTGAACAAGACGACGACAATGACGAAGACGCGTATGACAACAGACTTTGTGATATTTGCAATCTTGCGCAACCGCCACATGAAACTGGTGATGGAAGTACCTGAATTTTTTGTCCATGCGAAGCAATGTTTCATTTATTTTGTGCTTACGACCCATCACCACACGTCCATGTAATCCACTATCCCGTGTACGGAGCTATGATGGAATAATAACAACGCCTTTGTTCATGAAACTCAGAACTGTTAAGAGAACGAGTAAAGGCCCTTTTCAGGGCCACCCACAATCTGATTTAAATTCTTTTGTTTCAATTTCGTATTTCCATAGCAAAGTTCAAGCGATCAAACCATCAAAATTCATTTTAGATTAATAATCATTATGTTATTAGCGCCTACGTATTCGTAAACGCTTTGTGAGCTTTATCAAATATACGGTTTAAGTAAACGATTTCGTATAGGAAATATCATCTAATGAACACTAATCTGTCTGACAGTGGTACATGCAAAACGTATTCAGAATGTTTCAGTGCTTTGTCATAAAGTTAGTTACTATAGGCGAATG